CCGCTCCAGGATACTAAATTGTACTGGAGAAAAGAAAGGAAAGAAACAAAAAAAAAAGCATAATCCAAGGTGCCCTTGAACTTCAGTTTATGTTTGTGAAGAGAATGTAGGTTTTAGCCATCCAAGAAAATTCTGCCATCTTATGGTGACCATTCAGAGTGCAGACACAAAGGTCTCGCTGAGAGAATGAAGGGGAAATGATTGTTTGCTTCAAAGCATTTCAGTGACAGTGTCATTTTGTAGGCCCTGAGTCTATAGGATTTCAAACTTGATTGGAGAGTTATTTAGTTTAACCCTCTCATTTTTGGATTAGGAAATTTAGGTTGAGAGATTAATAACTTGTCTAAGGGTAAACAGGCAATTAAGTAGTAAAACCAAGATTCTAACTCAGGATCTTTGACTCTAAATCTAGTGCTTCTGTTATTGCCTCCCACATATGTCTGGCATTTCTGCCTTTCTGGGATACTGTCTTGTGTCCTGTAGTTAGGGCCAGTCTTATGAGTAAATGCATTGGTTTGTCAAGGTAACTGAAATTCCATTATCGTAAATTAATCTCTGTGTCTGGCAGGCTTATCAGTCATCAGGAGTCAGGAGCCCTTTATTAGACATGCAGCTAATGTTGGGAGAGATAACACTCAACTCAATAAGTCCTGAACTAATTTGGCCATGGTACATTTTTAGGCTTAAAATATGTTGGCAAACCCATAAAAGTTATCCACTGGGATCTGTAGAAGCAATAAGGAAAACTTGCTCTTCTTTTATTTTAAAAATTTTTTTCCTCCTTTCATGTTGAAATTTTGCCACATAATACATATTTTTTAATTACGTCAGCATTATGCTATGGTGGATGGCTAGAGAGCTAGCCTTGAAGCAAGGCAGAAATATCAGTTCTATGTCTGACACATACTGGTTGTGTGACTCTAGGCAAGTCACAGCCTCTTAGTACTCTAAGCAACTCAAGTAAAGTACAGAGACAATGACAGGCTGCATTGATAGAGGGAATTTCCTCACTTGTAAGTTCCTTATACCAATAAAAATCACAGGTTTTGTCTTTGCTTCTAATTTAATATTTTAGAGAGAAAAGTACTACCAACATCAAATTTCTCTTACTGAGAAATCCATTCACATTGCATAGAGTGGTTTGGGAAATACTGCCTTAATTCCTTATTCCCTAATATTGTGGTCAGCAAACATCTGATTTGTGTCTAGGAATGTTCAAGGAATCATTTTAGGCATAGTCTCTACTAACAATTAATTTATTTTAATGTCCAATATAGACAGAATGATCTCTCTCTGTCTCTCTCTCTACATATAGAGGTACGACCTAGAGAAAGAATACACCAAGTGAGGGGCACAGAACATTTACTGAAATATTTTGTGGTAAATGGAGAGAAGTTGTTAACTGGGGAATGACATAAGTAAAATAGTGTTTGAGCAGTGATTTGTTTATCATACTATTCTTCATTTTTAATAGCTGGCTAAAAGGAAGCCCCTGTGGGAATGAGACGTAGGCTGAATATTCATGAAATTGAGATGTGGGATAGCTGACAACTAAAGGGCGGGAAAGGTGATGCCTAAAACAAGTCGTTTTCCCTGAGACAGCTGTAGTAGTAGTTTATATTGCCATGAATTTTTTTTTCTTCTTCAGAGGTTTTGGTACATGGTAGACATAGAGCCCTTGACCATAGATTCAGCTAATCAACCCAGCTTTAGCAGTCAATTAATAAGCGTCTGTTAAGTGCGTACAGTGTGCCAGGCACTATGCTAAGCACTGGGGATACAAAGAAAGGCAAAAGCTCCCAAGGAGCTTTTATAACAAGGAAGACATGCATAAAGAGATACCTACAAGATGCATAGAGAGTAGATGGAAGGTAACCCAAGAGGGAGAAGTGTGTTGGATTCAGCCTAACAAAATACGAATCTTTCCCATACTGTTCAAAAGTCATTTTTATTAAAGATCTTGATTTTAAGCTTTATTGTTTTTTCTTTTTTGTGTGTGAGGTTAGAAGTGGGATTGGTAGTGTACATAAATCCTAGATCTCTTGTAAAATTGCAGGCTTGTAAATGTGCTAACTGAAGACATTGTTGTTAATTGAGGTTTCATTCAAAATTTCACTCAAAGATTATTCTAGATGTGGTTGTGTTAGTTTTAATAGTTATTTCTTGAAGGCATTTAATATTATTTTAGTCCTTTGGGTTTAGATAGAAGATATTATGTAGGAGCTAAGTTATTCTTATCTATCTATCTGTATACACATACATGCACATGCATACACATGTGGAGTAGATATATTTGCTTATAAACAGAATTATGTACTTATATCTTAAATCAACAACAGATTTTTAAAAGTTGCTTTTACATCAAAAATGACTCCAAATGAAAAGCAGTTTAGAAATACATTTCTAGGTTTGGAGAAGGAAAATTAAAATTCTTCTAGCTGTATTCTGACCAAAAGGATCTTCACTAGTTGAATGGATTATTAGTAGAATCCTGTTATCAAAGTTAACAAAGATAATCTTTAAAAAATGTATTTTAAATTTAGGCATCAAAAAAGAGCATTTCTGTAAAAGAAGATTGTGTGTTAAGCCATGAATCTACATTTCATATCACTTATTTCAAGTATATAATAAATTCTACATGTTTCTTTCTTTCCTTTTTTAATTAATTATTTTTTAAATTTATGGAATAAAACAAGCATTTCCATAACACAGGACAATAAAAAAGATGATTGCACGTGAAACTGCCCTTTATTTTTTTGACATTAATATTGGTAATCTCCTCTCCTCCGCATTCCTACCTTCCCTCTGCCCCATTAAAAAAGAAAACAAAACAAATAATAGTTAAGCCCCCCCCCCAAAAAAAATTCACCTAGTGGCCTTTTCCAAAACTGTATGTTTCTTTCTGCACCTGGAGTTCATCACTTCTGTATCAGATTGGGGGTAACATGTTTCATTCTAAGACCTCTGGAAACATGATTGGTCTATGCATCCATCAGCGTTCTTAAGCTTTTCTTTGCAATGTTGTTGTCTTTGTATAAGTTGTTTTCTGGTTCTGCTCACTTGACAGTATTTCCCAGGATTCTCTGAAATCATACTTTGTATCATTTCTTATGGTAGAACAATAATCCATTATACTTGATATCACAATTTGCGCAGCCTTTCACATTTGGTGGTTGTTGATGATTAAATTGCAGTTCTTTTTTTCTTTTCTCCCCCCCCCCTTTAATACTCTCGTTAGGACAAAAAAATTTGTTTTACTTGTGACTACTCCCTCCCCAGTTTTATTCCCCACTCCCAGCTTCTTCACTTCATTCCTTGTTGAGTTTAATTCTATACCAGACTGTCATTCAGTCAGTCAGCAACATTAAACATCTACTACGTATCAGACACTGTGCTAAGTTCCAGATTTACAAAAAAAAGTAGAAAAAATCAATCCCGAGCCCCCATTCTAATGGAAGAGATAACATGCAGACAACTAGGCAGAAATAAGATATATACAGGATAAATTGAGGATAATCAATTGAAGGAAGGCACTAGTGGAGATTGGGAAAGGCTCCTTTAAATGGTGGGATTTTAGCTATGACTTGAAGCTGAGTGTGTGTGTGTGTGTGTGTGTGTGTGTGTTCAATCCCTTTTGTCTGTTTCAGGTAAGAGTGAGATTCATCTGATAAATCTTCCTGCTACTCCTTCTATCTTCTCATATACCCCAGTTATGAGGAATAATAAATACTGCTTTCTCCTTCCTCCCTCTATCTAAATGTATTCTTTTTGTTCTCTCTTTCTCTTAAAACCCTCAGAACAGAACCAGAATGCCCCTGGATCATTTGTTTTTCTAATTTTATTCCCTCAATAGCCTTTGAAGACAATAAGTGTCTGAAAGGAGACTTGTTTCTTCTTCCCCTATTAAAGTGTTAACACTACATTATTAGACAGTCCCAGTTCTCGTAATTTGACCTTTTTAGGTTTTTCTGGATTCTTTTGCTTGAATTTCAGAGGTCCTGCTATGATCTTTCCATCAGAAATACTTATACATTCTCTATTAAAAGTTTATTCTCCCCTTTCTACAGCCCTTTCCTCCCCCCATTATATTCACCTTTGTAATTTATTTTTTGTTTCTATAAGCCTGTCTCTGACTTTTGGAAAATCATATTACAAGATCTTCTCCTATTTATAATAGAAACTGCCAGATTTTGGGTGATCCTAGCTCTGGTTCCTTTAACACTTGAACTGCTTCTTTCTGGATACTTGCAGTACTTTTTTCCTTTTATTTGGGATCTCTGGATTTTGGTTATGACGTTCCTGGGGCTTAATCCTTTTGGGATTTCTTTCAGGAGATAACAGGTAGACACTGTGTTTAGATAGAGCCCATTTAGATAGATGGTTCTCATTTTTTGATTTTTTGAAACATAATGTTTAGGCTTTTTAAAAAAAAATCCCACTTTTGAAGGAGTCCAGTGATTTTTTAAAAATGAACTCTTCCTGATCAGTTTTCTGAGTCATTTGTTTTTTATATCAGCTATCTCAGTTTTCTTAATTTTTCAATCTTTGATTTTATTCCTGTATTTCTTGGTATCTAATGGAATCATCAATTTCTGTTTTGTCTGCTGTAATTTTCAAATAGTCTGTTTCTTGGATGAGGTTTACAGACTTTTCTTCTAAGCTATTTATTCTCCTTCCAGTCATTTCTTCCAGAATATTTATTTTGTTTTTTAATCCCTTCATTATTTATAGGTATTCATATAATCCTTATGGATTTTTTGATCATTATTCTGTCTGATGTGGATTTCAGGCTTTTGAAATAATAGGTGTGGGAGAGCCTCTTTTCATTTAGTCAATAAGCATTTACTAAGTGCTTATTACTATGTGTCAGGCGGCCAAGTTGGGTAGAAACTCAGAAATGACATAGTAAAATTATGTTTTTCTTTGTTATTTAATAAATTGTGACATTTAAAAAATATACTTGAATGCATTATAATTGTTTTAAATTCCCCTTTTTTTAGTCTGATCTTGTGGATCAAAGTATATTTAATTTTATCCCAGAAGGGGAACATTCAGAAGTTTATAAAATATTGTCAACTCATCTGCTGGAAAGTGATTCATTAACACCAGAGTATCTAAAATGTAAGTAGTGGGTTTGTGATGGATAGTACTTGTTTTTTTACTTGATAATTCAGATAAATGTAATATTTCTATAAGTGACTTTTGTCTGTACTTTTTCCCCTTTGTAACATAGGTAATTTGATATTTCTTAAATATTATTGAAACAAATTGTCCACTTTCTAATTTACAATATGAAGTGACAAGAAGGAAGTCACTGGTAGCAGCATTTAAGAGAGCAGTAACATTAAGAGAGCAGTGATGAGTGTGGAAATCATACTGCATAGGGGTTAAGGGAAGAATGGAAGGGTAAGAAGTGAGGGCAACAACTACTAGTGCTCTATCCCAAAGAGATCATAAAAAAGGAAAAAGGACCTACATGTACAAAAATATTTATAGCAGCTCTTTTTGTGGTGGCAAAAAATTGGAAATTGAGGGGATGCCCATCAACTGGGGAATGGCTAAACAAGCTGTGGTATATGCATGTAATGGAGCTACTGTGCAATAAGAAATAATGAGCAGGCAAATTTCAGAAAAACGTGGAAAGACTTCTGTGAACTGATGCAAAGTGAAATGAGCAGAACCAGAACATTACAGTAACAGCAACATTGTGTGATAATCAGCTATGAATGACTTACCTCTTCTCAGCAATATAATGATCCAAGACAGTTGCAGAATACTCATGATGGAAAATGCTATCCACATTCGGAGAAGAAATGATGGACTTTGATCCAGATTGAAGCATACTATTTTTACTTTATTTTTTTCATGGATTTTTTTCCTTTTAGTCTGTTTCTTCTTTCACAACTGTGACTAATATGGAAATATGTTTTACATAATTGCATATCTATATATAACCTATATCAAATTGCTTACTATTTTAGGAAGAGGGAAGGAGAGGTGGGAGGAGAAAAATTTGGAACTCAAAATTTTGTAAAAATGAACGTTAAGCCAGGTCTTTGAGGGTAGCTATCTACCCACGATTCCACATTGCCTACCAATGAGAGAACCCAGAATTGAAAAATTCACATAGGTAGAGGAGAATGCTGACCTGTGTCAGAAGGTTGGAGGGTCTAAGACTGTGATGGACAGAAGAACCACTGAATCTTTGAAGTTTTGTAATAACTTTGGGACACTTCTCATAGGCAGGAGATCTTAATCTATTTAGTATCATTGACCCATGGCACTCTGAGGAAGTCTGCTGACTCCTCAGAATAATATGGTTAAATTCATGAAATTAATTATATTGCATTATAAAGAAAGCCAATTATCTTGAAATATGATTTTCAAATTGTTTTGAATTTTTATTTATTTTATTTTTAATTTATGGAATAAAACAAACATTTCCTAACATAGTATAATAAAAAAGATGATTGTACTCAAAACTGCAAATCTATTATATATAACTTGCTATTCCTTTTAAAGTTGTAATAAAGTTATCATGTAAACAATGAATGTTAAAAATTGTCTTTACAATAATTAAAAAAATACTATCAAAAAAGAAGTGAAGGCCACAGGTAGGGACAAGTTCAAGGAATTTGGGCATCAAAATGAAGAAAAGAGATTACATGGTAGCTAGAAGGGAGTAGGACAGCCAAGTAAAAGTTTAAAAAAACATTTTAATTAGTAATACCTTTTCTGCTCCTCAGCAAAAAATCAGCTTGAATTCTGTTGCCATATGCTCCGAGGAACAATAGATCCAAAAGAACCACCTACCTATGAATTTGTGAAGTTTATAGGAAATTTCAAATCTTTGAACAATGGTAAGTTCTTAGAGGATCCTGCTTCTATGGGAATGTTTAATTTGAAGTTAAAAGACTTATATATCATAAATTTATAGTGGCTAACCTCGGCCTAAGCCTGTTCATCAGTTCTTCCACTCTTTGTTTACTTGCCATTCTCATTCCTCACAATGACTGTTCTCAGTCTTTTCCTCTCTCCTCTCCATACTCGCAACCCTGCACTTAGAGATGATATAGAATTCTACTTCCATGAGACCACAGAGGACATTTGCCAAGACTTCTCAGTTTCCTATAAATCACAATATCTTTTGCAACCCCTCATTTCCTTCTGACAATAGAGGGAAGAGGTATATATATTCCTCATTAAAGGCTTACTGCTACTCTGGTACCTTAGTCCTGTTTTTTTTTTTGGTTAGGCAGTGGGGTTAAGTGACTTGCCCAGGGTCACACAGCTAGTAAGTGTTATGTGTCTGAGGCCAGATTTGAATTCAGGTCCTCCTGAATCCAAGGCCAGTCCTCTATCCACTGCGCCACCTAGCTGCCCTTTTCCTTAGTCCTGTTTTCTTCACCCCTCCTCCAGGACCACTTTGTTCTAGGAATTGTTCCCTTCATTTTAGGTATCTTCATCTTTCCCTCTATGCTGGCTCTTTTTCATTTCCTTACAAGTATGTTCAGGTATCTATAAACTCTCCAAATCCTCCCCTTAACCTTTATATGCCCCCCAGGTAAAATCCCATCTTTCTCCTCTCCACTACCAAACTTAAAAAATTTTTATCTATACCTCACTTCTCACCCAATCTCTCCTCTGTGGCTTTGCACAAGTTATTTAATTTCTCTGGGCCTCAGTTTTCTCATCTGAAAAATGATGTGACTTGTAAGGTCCCTGTTAGCTTTAATGCTATGATCCTGTGATTCTGAGCCTCTTATATTCTGGCTTCCAAACTGGATCTTTGCCTCAGCCCAGATATTCTATTGAAACTGCTTTCTCCAGGTCACCAATGACCTGTTGGTTGGCCAGTCTAACAGCCTTTTTTCCTTTCTCATCACCCTTCACCTCTACAGCATTTCCTATTGTTGTGATCTGTTGACCATTACTTTCTTCTAGTTTCTCTTCTTCCATGATTCAGATATAGCATATTCTCCTTGGCTTTTCTTCTTACCCACTGTTTCTTCTCTCTGTCAGTCTCTGGCATCTTTGCTTGGCAGTTTCATAGATTATTATGGCTTCTGCTGTCAGCTACTTTCAAAAGACTCTCCAATCTTCCCCCCCCCCCACCCTCACCTGCCTCTCTATCTGCTTAGAGCATATATCTATTCCAATGTACCAGTAGTACTGTAATCATTCAAATTATTTATCTTCCCCCTCAACCTGCTTATCCTTTTGAATTAATTATTTCTTACAATGACCAAACTCCAGTTTTTGAAACCTGTATGTTTCAGATCGTCATAGTATACAGGTCTGTGTTATTATCTGTCTCAACTATTGGACTTGTCTCCTGCTAGATTTTCTCCCTCACCAGTATGCTCCCTATTTCAAACTATTCTTCATATAACTTCCTGACTTATCTTTCTTGTACAGTTATCTCATTCTTGCTCGGAAATTTTGGTGTTTCCCTTTTGCTTTCAAAATAAAGTTTAGTCTCTTTTCTTTTTTAGCCGCATTCAAGGCCCTCCACAAGTAGATGTCACCCTGCCTTTCCAGCCTTACCTTATAGTGCTCCCCTCCAAACAGTGTCTAGGTAAATTGGACTACTGTGCCCTACCCCATATTCTTCTATCTTTGTTGCTTTGCTTAGGCTAAACCGTGTGCCTGGAAAGTTTTTCCCTTCTTCTTCCCCTGCTGAATTCCTACTCTTTCTTTAAAATTCAATTCAAATTACCTTCTCTTTCATAAAGGCTTCCCTGATTCTGTCTGGTAATGACCTTTTCCTCCTCAGACCTCATACCTCTATAATAGAGAGATGTTTTACACCATTCTGATGTAGTTATTGTGGTTTATAGTTATCTGTATATTTATTATTCCTGTAATAAGCTGGAGCCAGGACAGGTAAACTTCTTACCTCCATTAGCACCTACCACTGTGCTCATCTCACAGCAGGAGGCTAATGTTTAATTGAATGGCATTGACAAAGAGAATAGAAATTTGAAATAGGTGAAATAATTGCTGATATTTTTTTCTTTGTCATTCATTCAGTATCCAGTTCATCACACAATGGTTTTGAAGGAACCATACAACGATCTCATAGGCCTTCATATGAAGACAGAATTTGTTTTGTAGCTACTGTTAGGTTAGCTACACCTCAGTTCATTAAGGTATGTTTAGAATTTTGCTTCCCACGTAGGATATGATTTAAGCCTATCATTTGAACTATCTATAGTATTTCCTGTTTCTAAAATAATAAAAACTGATTGAAATCCATTGAAGTCTGTGGAAATCATGAATTGTTGAGTATGTACAATCATAGCATTTCTCAGGCAGTTAGTTGTTTAAACTCTATCATTATAATTCAGTTATGTAATTTTTTTCCAGTTCTGATAATTTGTATTTATGTGGCGGTTTAATGTTTATCAGATTTTATCCTTATGACAGCCTTATGAGGTAGTACAAATACTATCCCATTTCACAACTGAGGAGGCCCAGGCTTAGAGGTTAAGTGATTTGCCCTCGGGTCCAAGGACACTGGGCTGACACATTACTGGGTGAAATTCCATCTCTAGTTCTCTTACTGTCCCACTGGTGTTGCTTTAGATTCACTGTGGTGAGCTGTATGTACACTTTAATTGCTTATTGTTATTTGTTTACTAGTTTCTGCATTTTTTGAATACTGTTATGCTTTTATAACAGTATAGTTAGCTCTTAGCCCCAGTGAGGAGGAGCCATAGTCTAGATAATCTTGAACAGATGATTTTTAAAATATTAATTGTACTTTGAAATGCCATCAATAACTCGTTTGCTGTAAAGTTACCTTCTCATTTTATTAGCAAGTTATTTCTTGTTTTATTAATAAATTGAGCTTGCATTTATAGGAAATAAACAACTAAAGGTGAGAAGATGATGAACTAGACATATACTAGAAGAAAGATGAAGTCAGCCCCTGGATTTAAGATTTAGGAATGTAGTATCTGTGTGACTGGGGACAAGTCAAATAATAACTTTTCAGTTCTCAGTTTTCTCATGTATAAAATGAGGTTGGACTAGATGACTGTTAAGGTCCTTCCAGCCCTAAAATTCTTGTGTGTCTGAGCTAATTCACAATAGAATATCCAAATGTCGATTATCAATAGTTTGTTCTACCTGTGATTTGTTAAGGGCTCACTGAAAAATTGATGAGTGTAAGTGTTTCCTAATAGCTTAATCTACCAATAAAAGGACTTTCTCTTTCCTTTTACCTCTCATTCTTACAGTGGGTATCTCAACCTTTTAAATCTAACCATTGTCTTGTTCTGTATCCCCCAAAATATTGTGAAAGTAGTTGATCAGTATCTGTCAGAGTCACAGCTAACCTTGCCATCATTCCCCCAAAAGCAGTTTGGTGGCAGCTCTGTTGTCAGAAGACCTGTCCATTCATTTTCTTTTCCCATGACCTGGGGTCAGTAATGGCCATGGGCTTTGGGGGTTTGTCCATTGTTTTTCCTAACCTAAACCCAATAAATGAATAAAAGTGCTTAATGGTAGCAATATTTGATAGCCTTTCCTACTTAGGCTTCATAGCCTATTCTGTGCTACTTCTCCATATGCTACAGAATTGTACTGCCCTCTAAATATGTACTTTTCCACATCATAATGTAAGTCCTTCATAGAAGTTCCACCAAGTGCTCCCTTTCATCTGGTTCCTTTAATCTCTAAGAGGTAACACTGGACCATTCCATCTGCTCTCTCATTCTCAATACATGCCTTTGATGGTAGTCTTTTACTCTATATCTCATACCCAAGTAAGCATTGGAAATATGCTATAACCCCCCCAGTTTGCCAGGCTTACCTTGCATTAAAACTTTTTGAGATGTTCATGTATCATACAATGCCAGCTAATGGTTTTATAAGAATATATACAACTAAAATCATTTTGAATTATTCAGAAAAACATTTCTGAATTATGATCCATTTTATGACTTTTTTTTTTTGCTTACTTATAGGAAATGTGCACTGTTGAAGAGCCCAATGAAGAGTTTACATCTAGACATAGTTTAGAATGGAAATTTCTCTTCCTAGATCACAGGTAGGGCCTATGAAAAAATTTAGGGCAACACATTCATTTTTTTCAAGCTAATCAGAATTGACTTTGAAATTTTTACCCATTTTCCAAAAATTGTCTCCTGAAAGATTTTACTAGCTGTGTGATTTTATCAAAATAAGATAATATTGCTTTTCTTTTCTTTTCTTTTTTTTTTTTTTTTTTTTGTATAATCTAGGGCACCTCCCATAATAGGATATTTGCCATTTGAAGTTCTGGGGACATCAGGGTATGATTACTATCATGTGGATGACCTAGAAAATTTGGCAAAATGCCATGAACATTGTAAGTAGATGTTAATATTTCACTGCATTCATAACTGTTTTCTCAACTGTTGAAATCGTTCATAATAAAGGGTAAGAGGAAGTTACTATAATGTGACAGTTTTTAGTGTCAGAATAAAAAGGAATGGAGAATTTCATTGCGTATTTATGTTTGCATTGAAGTTAGATAAGTAGTAAGTAGGTAAGTAGTTAGTAGATAAGATAATAGTGTTCATTTTCTGTTATTGTAATGTTAAATAGCATATCATAAATAGTATATAATGGACAAGAACCTCTCTAATAGTTTGTAAGTTACACCCTTAGGATGAGATTAAGAAAATTCTTTTGGAAATTGAAATGGCTGGTTAGGCTGATTGGTTCCACTGAGGAAAATACTATGTCATGAAATTTAGGTTTGCGAAGATATAGAATATCCACTCGGAGAATCCACTAATACACATATTTTCTTTGCTTCTGATTTTTAAAAATAATGTATTAATATTGTTTCATTTTTAAAAAATAATTACTGAGATGTCATCTGACTTTAATTTTAAAAGCTAAATTTGATGTTTAAATTTTTATTTCCCTGTATTGATTGACTAGAGTTCTCTAAATAAAGCAGGTTAAATAGCATCTGCTATCCTAAAACTCAGAAAATTTTGTTTAAGTGAAGCAGTTTCGGGTGTAAAGAAAATATTATTTGCTGTTGAATGTTTAGTTTAGGCCAGGGGACTGCCTGCCAGGTGGGAACCTATATGGCTGTAACTTCCCAGTGTAGTTTTTTAGCAGAAATCCACAGTGTACCTGCTTGGTTGATTTGAAGTCAGTTGTTTATTAGAAAGCAGATAAGACTAGACCTCTCGACTGTGTGTATATATGGACATGCGTGCACGTGTGTGTGTGTGTGTGTGTGTGTGTGTGTTTTATGTATATGTAATTTTGAGGTAAATAATTAATAAGATTAAGTGCTTTGGAAGGTACATTAATCGCTTAAGTCACTAAATTACCTCAGGGGAGTGGTTTGTATTTGACTGAAGCACTGTAGGTGGCAGAGTCAAGTGGAAGTTGATTTTGCATAGATCTTTTCAGAAATTATAAACTTTTGGGCAAAAACTATTCCTAATAATTGAAAATGTAAATCAAGAAAAAAAAGTCTTGTGTTTTTTTGTCTCCTCTAGTAATGCAATATGGGAAAGGCAAGTCCTGTTATTATAGGTTCCTGACAAAAGGGCAACAGTGGATTTGGCTTCAAACTCATTACTATATTACCTATCATCAGTGGAATTCAAGGCCAGAGTTTATTGTCTGCACGCACACTGTAGTAAGGTAATAGTTCTTTTAGAGAGTCTTAGATAATAGTTAATAAAAAATTTAGTAACATTGTTAATTAAAATGAAATAAAATGTGTTTATGGTTTTACATCACCAATTTTTAAAAATCAATCTTGGCAAGCTTAAAGAAGTAATGAAAAATATCTTAAAAGTATAGTCATCATAATTACAATTTGCATCTTATGGCAGAAAGTACAACATGTTTATACAGAAATTAACTAGATTTACTTTTAGAATTAAAATTGGGGAAATTTTCAATAATAACTTTCTCTTCATTTACCTGCTAGTTAATTGGTAATAGTTTTCAGCAGTGTGTAAAAACTTTGCATTATCTAAGAGAAGTACTGTTTTTGAAAGGGGAGTAAAAACTATAGCTATGGTTTTGATGTTGTATATTACAAAGAAAAGATTGTAGGAATAGTTCACAGGCAACCAGCAAAGACCAAAAGTAAATGTTTTAAGTGATCAGACCTACAGTATTATATGTCCTTATATTTTTGTTTCCCTTTTTAGTTATGCAGAAGTTAGGGCTGAAAGACGACGAGAACTTGGTATTAAGGAGTCTCTTCCTGAGATAGCAGCTGATAAAGTATGTTTCTTAAGATTTATAACAAATCAATGTATTTTCATTCATTATAATGACTTATGAAATAGCATTTTAAATTAAAATTATTTGACTTTTATGTTACTCATTTTTCCTGTTATAGAGTGAAAATGGTTCAGTGTGAGAAGATTAAAAAGATTAGATCTTAACTCAGAGGAGGAGATTCAGTACTTGAATTTAGGGGACTATTATTATCTGCACCTATTGAAATTTGATGAAAAATGATGAGAGTCAGGAGTGTAAGAAGATACTATTATTAATTATATTTTCTTATACACTTGCTACTATGTGACCCTGGTCAAGACACTTAACCTCTGTTCGCTTCACTTTCCTCAACTATAAAATGGAGATAATAACAGCACTTACCTCAAAGAGGATGAAATAAGATATTTGTAAAAAGTACTCAGCATAGAGCCTTTCATATAGTTCCCTTTCCTTTCACCTCCTCCCTTCCTTAAGGGCAGGGTGTCCAGAGTGTTTGATGAAAACATTTATGTCTTAGGGAAAAAGTTACCTAAAAAGAAGGTCCTTTTAATGTGAAGATGTCTGTGCATCTTTCCATGTCTCTTCTTTCTCAGAGAAGATTTTACATGGAAGTTGTTTCTCCAGGTGTAAGGAATATCTATGATACCTGAGAAGGATTGCCTTCATTTGACTGCCTTCTCTCCTTTCCAACTTCATTTTTTCATGCTTTCTATATTCTCCTTGGATGCTGCTTATCCCTTTCCATTGTTGATACTTGGAAACTGTGCTTTATGTGGTAGGGGAGGGTGATTTTTATCATCCTCATTGCTGTTAATTATGTTTACAAACACAGGATAAAAGGAGGATTTTGGTAGCATCACAAATGAGATAAATTCCTAACATTTTTCAGGTAATAGGATCATAGGTTTGAAGCTGAAAGGAACCTAATCCAGCCCTCTCATTTATGTTATCTCCTACTTTGGGAGTGACCTCTCAACTCAAGCTCAAGACACTGTGGTTCTGCACTCCTAAAACCATAGCTCAAAAGCTTCAACTAGCACATTTACCTTTAATAGACTTTTTGCTGAGAAGGAATTGTAAAAAACAATAGTAACAAAACATTCCCTTCATAAATCTTGGAAGATGACCTTTTATCATTATGCACAGCATCAGTGGGAAGAGAGGACACATCCACAGATGACACTAGTAGAGAAACACAGAAGTGGGTAACATTCATGTCCAGCGTAACTCACGTCTCTGGCACTGTAGCTTCCTGATGTCCTCTCCTTACTCATGGTGTCTGTTCTGCTCCCACTATCTCTGTTGGGCAGGTCGTTTGGCTGGACCTACATCTGCCCTGGTCCAAAGTTTGATTCCTGACTTCCAAAGCTAATTCTCTCTGAAGAGAATCTATACTTGTCTCTTTGCTGTCATGAATTACACTTCTCAAGGCTATCTTCTTCCTGGACTCTTCATTTAGAATAAATGTCCAGCTTTTTAGAAGGACTTAACAGGAATGTAAGCCAACTGTTTGGCCAGCCAATAGACAGCCAATTCCATCAAGCTTTGCTGAATGTTTTCATACCTCTGAAAGGAGTTATGAAGTATAATCACTTATTTTCACTTCATTTAAGACTGAACACTTCACTGTTATCTCCTCAGTACTTCCGATGATTTTATCAGCTGTATTGTCAGAAAAGCAATTGAAAAGCTGCGTTCTGTTTAACTCTTGGATTTCCACAAATGTTTGAGGCAGCACCTTCACAGTTTATAATTCAAAGTGATGTCAGTGCTATTTTTTTCTCAATTTTATGAAAGTAAACTTGCATAAATTGACTTTGGACACTTGTATAGCTCTAGTCTATAGTTTCATAATATATAGTTTCATAATATAATAATACATATAGAAAACTTCATTTTATTTGATACCTTTGTTATTACTTTATTTGAAATATCATAGAATGCTGGAAAAGAAATTAGATTAAAGATATCTATTCTCTCTTTTTAGAGAAAAGAAAAATAAATTCCATGTAACAAATATACATACTGAAGCAAAGCAAATTATCTCATCAGTTGTATTCAAAAGTATAGATGTCTCATTCTCACCTTAAATCTGTTACATCTCAGTCAAGCGGTAAATAGTATATTTCATCATGGTCCTCTGGAATCTTGGATAGTCAAGATATTATTGATTGATATGGTATTGATCATAGTTCTTACAGCTTTCAAAGTTGTCTTTACAGTGTTGTAATTGTATAAATTGTTTTCCTTCATTAGTTAATTTCCTTCATCAGTTTATAAGTCTTCAGAATTGTTCATTTTTATAATTTTTATAATTTATAAATATTTTTATAATATTATAATATTATATATATTATATATGAATATATATATATGAATATAATATTATAATATTGATGTGATAGTATGAATTGTTCTTCTAGTTTTGCTTACTGCACAGTATAAGTTCACTTTATGTCTTTGAAATCATCTGTTTCCTGATTTCTTACAGCACAGTAGTATTCCGTTACATATTCCATTACATTCATAGCTACAACTTAATCAGCCATTTCTCAATCGGTCCCTTTAGTTCCCAGTTTTTTGCCACCATAAAAAATACTGTATATGTAGAATCTTTCCCTCTTTTTTAAAAAATCTCTTTTGTGTATAGGCCTTTAATAAAATAAAAGTTCATTACTAAACAAGAGACACATCTCAGTGTTACAGCTGAATCAAAGGGTGTACACTGTTTAGTAACTTTTGTTTATAATTCCAAATTGCTTTTCAGAATTTTTGTGCCCAGTCACAGGTCCACCAATAGTGCCTCAATTTACCTGTTTACCTCCAGCCCCTCCAACATTTACTGTCTTCTTTTTTTCTTCGTCTTTGTTAAAAGAGGAAAAGAAAACTATAGACTAATATCTGTAATGAATATTGATGGAAAAACTTTAAGTATTAGCAAAGAAGCTAAACCAACATATCGCAAAGATTATATACTATGACCAGTTTGGATTTATAACAGGAATGCAGAGTTGGTTTAATATTAGGAAATTATAATTTTAATTGACCATGTTAATAACAAAATCAATTAAAAAATTTATTATTACATTGAAACATTCAGGAAAAGCTTTTGACAAAATACAATTCTCATATCTAATAAAACATTAGGGAAACATAAGAATATATGAACCTTTCTTTAAAATAATAAATAGCGTAAATCTAAAATCAAAAGCTATGATTATATATAATAGAAATAAACTAGAATACTTGCCAATAAAATCAAGAATGAACAAAGATGTCCATTGTTGCTCCTTCTGTTTGACATAGTAAGACAAGAAAATAAAATTAGAGGGGAAAAGTATAGGTAAAGAAAAAGCAAAATTTTCACTTCTGTAGGTGATATGATGGTATACTTAACCCCATAATTGTCAACTAAGAATTATCTGAAACAGTAAGTGACTTAAGCAAATTTTCAGGATATAAAGTAAGTCCACACACATCATCAGTATGTCTGGATGATGCCAGCAAAATCTAGCAGGAAGAGATAGAGAAATTTGCACTTAAAATAATTATAGAAGTAAAAAAAAAATAGAATAATTACAGAATGTTTAAGTACTTGGGAGTCTACCTATTAAGATAACCTGAAAACTATGTAAATACAATTGCAAATCAAAGGTTATAAAAATAAAGACAGACATAAATAGTTTGGAAATACTAATTGTTCATGGATAAGATGAGCCATCATAGTAAAAATGGCAGTAGTACATAAATTAATTTACTTATTCAATGTTATACTAATCAGACAACCAAAGAACTAAATAAATTAAAACTAAATATAGAACTAAAATTTTAAAAATAATGAAATTTATGTGGTAGAAAAAAAAGAATCCCTGAGAAATAATCAAAAGAAGTGAGAATGAAGAGGGCCTAGCAATGCCAAATTTCAATCTATATTATAAAACAGGATTTTCAGAACAGTTTGATATTGATTAAAAAATAGAGGCTGATTAGTAGAACAGATTAGGTATGTAACATGCAGAAACATATATATATATCCACTACCACAGTATTTGTAAACACAAAGATAATGGATGCTGAGAAAAGGAATAACTGACACAGATTTCTGGGAAAAATGGACAGCAGTATGGAAAAACTTAAACTTATACCAATACTGCTTCATATTTTATGCCATGAAAAGCTTCAGTTGGATTGGTGACCTAAATTAGAGAGTGTGGAGAAAATTATCTGTCAGATTGATGGATAGAATAAAAGTTCATTACCAGATAAGATTTCAGAAGATAAAATGGGTAATTCTGATTACAGAAGATGAAAAAGTTTCTGTAGAAACTAATCCAATACAGCTAAGAGTAAGAGAAACAATGAACTGTGAAATATTTTTGCAATGAGTTTCTCTGATAAAGGTCTCGTTTCCAAGATGTGTAAGGAACTGATCAAAATTCTAATAAGAGCCGTTCCCCAATTGATAAATAGTCTAAGGATATGAACTGTTAGTTCTCAAGGCAAGAAACCCAGACTATCTATAACCGTATGAAAAATTGCTCCAAAATATTGCTAATTAGAGAAATGTAAATGAAAGCAATTCTGAGATTCCACTTCATACCCATGATATTTATCCTCTGTTTAAACTACTGACTTTTAGATTAACCTCTCTATGATATGTAAAATGGTAATAATGGTGGTTGTCCACCACTTAGATGTGAGAGCTACTGTTTTTGATTCTTTGGAGAAAGGTCTGCTTTTCTGATAAATGAAAAAAATAACAATTTTAAAAATATGTATTTCAGAATGGATTGTGTTTGTGTTTGAAACACAGTAGGGTGTTTATTTTGAAAATTATTATGTCTCTTTAGAGCCAAGACTCTGGATCTGATAATCGCATTAACACTGTTAGTCTCAAAGAAGCATTAGAAAGATTTGATCACAGCCCAACTCCTTCTGCTTCATCCAGGAGTTCAAGGAAGTCATCTCATACTGCAGTGTCAGATCCTTCCTGTAAGTAATGCAAAAGGAAAGCAAGTCCCCTCTTTAAAGAATATTAACGTATTTTTTCTTCTTGTCTCATTTTTCACAATAGTATATTGTAAAGCTGTCTTTATTTTAAAAGATTGTGGTATGAAGATATTGTATGGATTTGAAGAGTTAGGGAGAACTTAAATTGGTTTTTTTTTTTTATCAAATGTCTCTAATAATTAAAATCATGTTGTTGCCAAGTTGTGTCCAATTCTTTGTGACCCCATTTGGGAGTCTCTTGGCACAGATACTGTAGTGGTTTGCCATTTCCTGAGGCAAACAGGGTTAAGTGCCTTGTCCAGGTTCACACAACTAGCAGGTATCTGAGGTCGGATTTGAACTCAGGTCTTCCTGACTTGGGGCCCAGTGCTGTAACCATTGCGCCACCTAGCTGCACTAATTAAAATCACAAGTGTTTATATTTCTGCAATATATGTAAAGAAAAATCTTACTATTAAATAGGAAGAAAGTTGCTCAATTTTTAAAAATAATAATCTCTTAGATCACCAATTAAATATATTTAAAGTATTGATTTTTCCCATTACCCATTCAAAAAAGAAAACGTTTGCTTCCCTTTTACAGGTAGGGAGAGCAGATGTTAAATATTTATTTTTTACAGCTTTCTTACCTCCAGTAGACTTAGAAACTTTATGTACTTTTTAGAATGTATTGACCACAAAAAGACAACTTTATAGGTTTCATCTAATCTGCAATCTGAAAACATGTTTTCCTAATGAAGTTTATTTTTCTTCTTAGAGTATTTCATATGTTGCTTAAAAAGAATAGAAATGATAAGGGACCAAAAAAGCATTCCATAATTATTATACTTAAACTTTAATATTCAGAAATTAATTTGTATTAAAACTTTTTTTATTGAAAGATATTTTGAGATGAATATTTGAAATTTTTTTTTAATTCTAATGAAATTTTTTTTTTTGCTTTTTAACACCAGCAACACCAACAAAGATTCCAACAGATAATAGCACTCCTCCCAGACAGCATTTACCTGGACATGAAAAAATAACTCAAAGGAGGTCATCATTTAGTAGTCAGGTAAAGTCTTTAGTGAGTAATTTTCTTATAAACATTCACACAGATAAATATCAAGAAGATCCATGGTATTCATTCACTGTTCTTTCCAAAGAGATAAAGATAGAGCTATTACTATCTCATTTACCTGGAGACTAAATGTTTTGTGAAATATTTTCCATTAAAAATATTAAAATAATTTTTAAGTAAAAAATATAGGTTATAAGAAAACAGTTTAAAGCTGCAAGTTCTTAAAATCTTAAGTTTAGGCAGCATTCATTTTAAAGTAATGTTTATTTCAAGTGGAAGTGTTTATGTTAAAAAAATCCCAAACCAATGTGTTATTGTTGTTGTTTTTTTCCTAGTCCCTAAATTCTCAATCTGTTGGTCAGTCTTTAACACAGCCAATGATGTCTCAAGCTACAACTTTACAAATTCAACAAGGAATATCACAGGTATGAAAATGATTTTTGGTTTTGTTTGATTATTTTCAGTGAATTATGTACAGGCTAATAATTATGGTTTTGAGATTTCAAATTTATGTAACTAGTTTATTTGTATACATAATTAAGATGGAAAAAATGTAGTTGTTTTTCTTCTTCCAGTGTAGAAAAGGCAGTTGAATAACTTGCTTTAGTTTGAAAAGTTACTGAGACTAATGATATGGTTAAAAAATATTACTCATTGCCTTACATATAGTAAATGCTCATTATGTACCTGAATGAATTATCCTCATTTCCAATTTGACATTTGCCATCTCTGAAATAGCTTGAATTTTCAAGACATATTCTGAAGATTTGAAAGACAAAACTCCAGTTGTTTTTTACATCCATTTCTCTGTGATGAACCATGAATAATCAATAGACAGTCTGCTTAACATGTAAAAGAAATGATAATTTGTTTTCATATTTTTGGGAGAGAGAAAGAGAGAATTATATGTTGGAGTTGTTAACAGAACTAGTATAATTCATCTTTAATTTCTCAATGGATAGAAGACTGGGTCTGGAGTCGGGAAGACCTGAGTTCAAATACACCTGGCCTCAGACACTAGCTGTATAACTATGAGCAAGTTGTTTAACTTCTGTCTGCCTTAATTTCCTCAGCTGTAAAATGGAGATAATAATAGCACTTGCCTTCTAGAGTTGTTGTGTCAATAAAATGAAATAATAATTGTGAAGTGTTTTTGCAAACTTTAAAGAGCTGTCTAAATGCTAGCTATTATTATATATGCCTATTTATAATCCAGTAGCTTTTGGATTATCCAATCCTTTGCTACTTCTCCATCTACTTTTCATCTGTTGCACTTTCACTGAGTGGTGTTAACTCCAGAAGGAAAGATATCTGTCATTCAAGCTTCATTATTTTAATGACCAGTTGAACCAGTGATCTTTAATATTTAGAATATAGTGCTAATGAAGCCAGGTCACTGGTTATATATCTACTAAGTCCACATAGCTCCTTAATTTCCCCCAGATTAAATTTAGCAGGCGTAAAAGTTCTAGCTTCATCTTACACTTGAGAGCCATTGGTTATTGGGGTTGTTGTAGGAATTGTTTCTCACTTAGGTACCTTATCCCTGAGCTTTTACCAGATTCAGTGATTTCATTGTGGGGCCTTAGGCCTTTAACTAGAAAGCTGATTCCAAGAGTCAGTGTTGCCTTAGTTAGCATAATTTTTAGGCCTAGTCTCTTTTTCTAAGCAAGTCATTTGAATTTTAGAGCTATATACATATGATCCAATCATTTAATTTTTTTTTCTGTCAGATTATATTGGCACAAAAATAACAGAATTCTTACTGATTGAGAAGTTATATTTAATGATTAAGTTTAAGAGAATATGCTTTAAAGCAAAAATTTAAAGAAATAACAGATTGGTACATTCTGACTATAAATTAATCATCAAGTGTTTCTTACTACAACTCACTTCTTAGAACCAAAAAACATTCTAGGCCAAGTTCACTTGGAGTGTTTCTTCTTTAGGCTATAGATCACCTCTTGAATGAAAACCTGCTACTTTGTCCTGTTTGCCTTGTAGCCCCTGCTTCTGGGCATTAAAAAAAAAATCATGTAGATTTTCATCTAACATATGTGGTATGTGAAAAGAGCACTGGTTCTGGAATTGGGTGTCCTTGATTCAGATCTCACCTCTCTCACTCTCACTGCCAGCGTGACTCCTTGAGCCTCAGACTCACCATCTATCTGTAAAATGAAGAAGTTGTATTGTATGGGTCTGTGATCCCCTCTCGATTTATGATCATTACTACTAGTAGAGCTCTGTGCTACTAGTGAGCCCTAGAACAGCTTTCCATGACTATGTTCTCTTTCCCTTTGTATAGACAGTATTAGCTCTTTTATTCTAGGTGATGCTGATTCCCAGTAGGGACATGAATTATTTGACTTACACATTAAGCTTCTTAGAGGATCTTATAATTCTTAAAACAACAACAACTACCACCAAAAAAACCCCTCTAAAACTGGATCCAAAGCATTATTGAGTATTATCAGGTTCCTGAAAAGTTTTCTGGCTCTCTTTAATATGTCTCTGTCAGATATTCTCTAATTTGGTAGTTTTACTTGATACTCAAAATGTGTTTTTTTTCCTTCAGAATTTATCATTGTTTTCTTATTGTCATTAAGATTGCATATATAAACAAAAAATGTACACAGTTCATTAGTATGAGCTAAAATATCCAATTTACTATAAATTTTTGGATAGTATACCACCATATTAGGATTTTATAACAACTATATTTGGCTCCAATGAGTCAAAAAGAATTTAGTTACAATTTTTATCAGCACCAGGTCCATAAAGTACTCATTGTGAAGGTTTAACATAATCCTTAAGATTTCTTTAAGTATTTAGTCATATTTTTTCAGAACATTTTCAGAATGCTTAATATGTATTCATTAACTCTTTTAAAAATGTTAACAAAGGGTTACTTGTATGTAAAATGTCCTATTATTTCTACTAAGAGAATAGGGATTGGGACTGGATGTGTAATAAGGTGACAGGCTGCTGAGGGAGTTGTGGGGGTAGGGGTGATGAGCTCTAGAGATCCTAAAATCTCCCAAGTGGGATGATCCATTTTAAAATGTAATTGGTAAATGGTTAGAAAAGAAGTAGAAGTACAGTACAATATAGATAATGTTAATTTGTGGTTTTCTAAGTCAGTATGTAGCCTACAGGATTCTGTTTCTCTTTGAGTTTGAAATCACTGGTGTAGGGAGCTCCTGCTAAGGAAACTCCCTCTACAAATGCAGAATACCCTCTTTCTCTGTAACTGCTCTACTTAAAGCACTGAGGAGTTAAGTGACTTGTCCAGGGTCACATGGCCACTGTGGGTCAAAGGTGACCTATTTGAGGCTTGAGAGATCTCACTCAGGTTTTTGTGACTTTGAGGCCAGTTCTCTATCTACTGTCCCACGCTGCTTCTCATTTCTGCTATATGGAGAGACAGTAAAAATTACATGATTTGTCTAAAACCTTACTTATAAGCAATGAATAAAGTGTGCCATTTTCAGTCTTTTTTTTCCTTTGACTTTTTGGTGTTACCATTTTTAAATTCATATTTAATTGAAATCACTTAAGTTATAAAAGCATAATTTTAAAAAATTATTGCCTTTCTGTTAAGGTTTTTTGCATCTCTAGTGTTATATAAAATGCAACTCAGGTAGTCCCCACTTTTAGGGACAATGTGTTCCTTGGGACAAAATCTTAAAATGCATGTGGGTACTGTTGCCTTCATCTGTTTGGCCCTCAACAAGAAGGCAATAAAGAAGCCGTTAAAGGAAATAAAGTAGTGATCTCATTACTAAGCAATATCAAACAAGCAAAGGAGCAAAATTAGAAACGACAAGAAATGGGAGCCGCCTCCATGATGTTATTTCAGAAGAAATATATCTTTGATTATATTTTTATTATGATTGGAAGGTTTTTCAGTTCCTTTGGTCCTCGTTAACATTACTTATCTGAGAGCAAAGTCTTAGTGGTAACAGTTTATCAAATTAAGTTTGATTCTTTTGCTGCAATGACTCTAAATGGTGAATACACTTTGTTTGCACCAAGAAGAAATAAAGAATCATGTAAAACATTTGCAGACCTTCAATACAAATATGAGTTAGTATTAGTATTATGATATTTTAGCAACCAAATAGGGAATTTTTTTAAAGTGTAGTTTATGTGACAAGAGTAGTTATACTTTCAGCTTAGTGGTTTTCACTAGCATACGTAACTAGTAAGGACAATTTACTTATTCTGTAATCATAAGGATTAAATAGTTCTAACAAATCTGATTTATTTATGGTACTTCAGCCCATGTTTCAGTTTTCAGCTCAGTTGGGAGCCATGCAGCATCTTAAAGATCAGCTGGAGCAACGGACCCGGATGATAGAGGCAAATATTCACCGACAACAAGAAGAACTCAGAAAAATCCAAGAACAGCTGCAAATGGTCCATGGTCAGGGGCTACAAGTAAGTTACAGTTCAGTTTGACTACCAGCATTTGTGAATCTTTTCATGCTTTCACGTGTGTGTGTGTGTGTGTGTGTGTGTGTGTGTGTGTTAGAGAAAGGGACATTCTTGCATAAATAGACTAACTGATTGAAAGGTGGAAGATTTCATTTTCTGAAGTGAATTCACTAATCAGTCATGCAACAAATAGTTATTAAGAGCTTACTATGTGCTGGACACTGGAGATATAAAGACAAAAAATGAACAGTTCTGCTCTTCTGGAACTTACTTTCTGTCAGAGGAGACTATGTATGTGTGTATATGTATATGTGTATATTTTTATGTGTGTGTGTGTGTGTGTGTGTGTGTGTGTGTGTGTGCACGCGCGTGTGCATGTATGTATATATACCTAAGAATAAATTTTTGTTGTTCAGTCATTTCAGTTGTGTCTGAGTCTTCATGACCCCATTTGGGGTTTTCTTAACAAGGATACTGGAATGGTTACTCATTTCCTTCCCCAGCTCATTTTACAGATGAGAAACTGAGGCAGAGTTTAGCGATTTACTCAGGGTCACACAGCTAGTAACTGTCTGAAGCTGGATTTGAACTCATGAAGATGAGTCTTCCTGACTCCAATTGGGCCCTAAGCTGCCTAAGAACAAATACCAGATAAAAGATAGGTAGAACACTAACAGTTGCGGCTATCATAAAAGGCCCATTGTTTCTAGAGTTCAGTATGTTATCCCTGTCACAGATTCTTGTTGTAGATTAACCTGAGGGGCAGCTAGGTGGTGCAGTGGATAGAGTGCTGGCCCTGAAGTCAGGAGGACCTAAGTTCAAATCTGGCCTCAGACCAAACACTTGACACTTACTAGTTGTGTGACCCTGGGCAAGTCACTTAACCCCAATTGCCTAATTAAAAAAAAAAAAGACTGAAATTAGATTAACCTGATGAATCTGTCATTTAGGCCTTCTAAATTTAAGTCAGTGTTAAAAACATTTGAACAAATCAGAACCATCGGCAAATCCCTGGGACATTCCATTGGCTAGACCTCCCTCTAGGTCAGATCTTAACTTTTTTTGTGTCATGGATCCCATGGGGAGTCTGGTGAGGTCTGTGGATCCCTTCTCAGAATGTTTTTTTTTTTTAATTATTTTTAGTTTTCAATAATTACTTCTATAAGCTTTTGAGTTTTCAATTTTTCTCCCTCTCCCTCCCCAAGACAGCATGCAATCTGATATAGGCTATACATATACATTCCTATTAAACATATTTTTACATTAGTCATATTGTAAGGAAGAATGAACCAATACGAGGAACCACCAGAAAGAGGAAACAAAATAGAAGAAGAAAAAAAAAGCAAATAATATGCTTCAAACTCCATAATTCTTTCTCTGGATGTGGATAGCATTCTTTTGGAGATGTCTTAGATCTTTGCATTGCTGAGAAGAGCTAAATCTATCAAAGTTAGTCACTGAACAGTGTTGCTGATACTGTGTACAACGTTCTCCTGGTTCTGCTCACTTCACTCAGCATCAGTTCATATAAGTCCTTCCAGGTTTTTCAGAAGTCTGCTTGCTCATCATTTCTTATAGCACAATAGTATTCAATTACATTCATATACCACAGCTTGTTCATCCATTCCTCAATTGATGGCATTCCCTCAGTTTCCAATTCTTTGCCACCGCAGAGATTGCTGCTATAAATATTTTTTGCACATATGGGTCCTTTTCCCATTTTTATGACCTCTTTGGGATACAGCCCTAGAAGTGGTGTTGCGGGGTCGAAGGGTATGCGCAATTTTATATCCCTTTGGGCATAGTTCCAAATTGTTCTCCAAAACGGTTAGATCATTTCACAACTCCACCAACAATGCATTAGTGTTCCAGTTTCCCCCATCTTCTCCAACATTTATCATTTTCCTGTTTCGTCATGTTGGCCAATCTGATGGATGTTTTGAGTTCAGTTCAGAGTTGTTTTGATTTGCATTTCTCTAATCAATAGTGATTTAGAGCATTTTTTCATATGACTATAGATAGCTTTAATTTCTTCATCTGAAAACTGCCTGTTCATATCCTTTGACCATTTATCAGTTGGGGCATGACTTGTATTCTTATAAATTTGACTTAGTTCTCTATATATTTTAGAAATGAATCCCTAATAAGAGACACTGGTTGTAAAAATTATTTCCCAGTTTTCTGTTTCTCTCCTAATCTTGGTTTCATCGGCTTTGTACAAAAACTTTTCAATTTAATGTAATCAAAATTATCCATTTTGCATTTCATAATGTTCTCTGTTTCTTGTTTGGTCATAAATTCTTCTGTTCTCCATAAATCTGACAGGTAAACTATTCTTTGCTCTCCCAGTTTGCTTATCAGCCTTTATGTCTAAATTGTGAACCCATTTTGACTTTATTTTGGTATGTGGTGTAAGATTTTGGTCTATGCCTAGTTTCTGCCATGCTCTTTTCCAGTTTTCCCAGCAGTTTTTGTCAGATAGTGAGTTCTTATCAGAATGTTTTTAAATGCGTAAAAACAACATACATAAGTTTACAAAGGAAATCTAAGGTTAGTGAAAATAAAGATGTAATTTATTTCTCCTGTAAGTCCATGAACTCCTAAAATCTATCTGTAGATCTCTTAAGGAGGTCTGTGGATGCCCAGTTAAGAGTTGATTTGAATCAATCCATTAATCATTATCCTTTGGGTCTGTTCATTCATTCAGCCAGATTTCAGATTTACCTGTCTCCATTGCTCATATTTCTCCCTCTTCTAAGTGTCATTATTCCCATTTTACAGATGAGGCAGTTGAGGCTTAGGAAGGTTCAGTAGCACACCCTTGTACATATGACTTATAGAAAGTTTCACCATTGGAATCCAACCCGAGATCTCCTAAATTTAAGTTCAGGACTTTCACTCATACATTATAGTTATCTACCTCTACTGTCTTTCACATACATTTTGGATTCATTTTGAAGTTCCAAACAACTGGTTTAGAAAGTGGCATTTCACCATACCCCTTAAGCTTATAATTAATTAATAAGTAACATTGAAACATAACTGATGGTATTTTTTTTCATTTCCCAAGACTATAAAGTTAGTTTCACTTGAAGAAATCGAATTTAAGAGTTTTATAGTCTTTTCCCAAGACTATAAAATTAGTTTTACTTAAAGAAATCCAATTTAAGAGTTAGGCTATAGTCACCCCAGAAAAGCTAACTTCTACCTTAAAAAGCTTCCTTGGGGGTATCCTTTTAATATCCAGTGGGAGGTATAATTATCCCATTTTAGCATATCCTTAGACAAAGCATTTTCCAACAGCATGTTAGCAATATACTTAATATTTTACTATGAATCCATTTTTGTTACAGCAGTAGTTTCTAACAGTATGTAGGCAGTAAGTTCCTTGTTTTTCTATAATCCAACTTGTAGATTATCTTTTTGGAGTCTCAAATAAATGCTTTTTTGATTGGGGAGAAAAAAAAGAGTTAGGCTACAGCAGACAATTGAAGTGAGATTCCTGAAACGTACTTAGCATTTTTGGAGTTGTGACATGCTGTTGTTGGATTTTGTTGCAACATTCTTCCCGTTCTTAAATGTTATATTTTATGTACGTCTGTATTTATGAATTCATTTATATGTGCATATGAATTTAAATTGTTTTGTAGCTTTTGTGATGTCCTTTGGGGTTACCTTTTTAGTATTTGAAAACACTGAGGTATTGTAAAATAACCTGATAAAATTTGAGAAGTCGCTTTATGAAACACAATTTTGGCATAACATTTTGAATATTCAAAACTGTTCTCATCATTGAATTGGTTTGAGTTATTGTTTGGATTTTTAAAAAAACACAACTTATTTTAGAATATTTTTAAAGATGTTTTTACAGCAATCATCCCCTGGATTGAATTTTGGTTCTGTTCAACTTTCTTCTGGAAATTCATCAAGTATGCAACAACTTACACCTATAAACATGCAAAGTCAGGTTGTTCAGACTAATCAGATTCAAGGTGGAATAAATACTGGACACATTGGTTCTCAGCACATGATGCAACAACAGCCTTTACAAAGTCCAGCAACTCAGGTAAACTATAAAGTGCTTTCAAGTCATGATGATCATTGAGTGACTGAATTTATAAAGTTTCTGAAATAAAATAAAAACTTGTTTTTAAAAAGTATATTTTATATTCTTATGAATTTAAGAAGTCCAATGGATAATGTACACCAATGATTTTTAAATAACTTTATGCAAAACTATTTTAGTAGCACTATTAATGTTTTAGGTGCTGGGACATGTCTTGAAATTTAATAGATATATTCCAAGTCTAGTCTGTGATATGCAAAATGTTAGCCCTGAGGCATTTCAAACAAGTAGCTATTCTCTGTGTCTCCTTCATCTACCAGAATCAACATTTTTGTCTCTCTAGTTAAGGGTAATTGGTGACTTTAGAAGGCAAATATACTTTCTTTAACTGCCGTTAGTCTTTGTTGTGTGTATTGTTCCTCAGAAGTACTTTTATAGTCATTGCTATCCATCACTCTAAGTTTTAGTAAGAAATTCCCAGGGGCAAAAATAAATAAATGGCACTGTCCTTGGAATACATTTAATTGTTTTTTAAGTAGTCTATAAAATATTATCTTTTCTAGCAAACTCAACCAAACATTCTCGGTGGGCACAATCAACAAACCTCTCTTTCCAATCAGACTCAAAGCACGCTGACTGCTCCACTGTACAACACTATGGTAATTTCTCAGCCAACAACAGGAAACGTAGTCCAGATTCCATCTAGTGTACCACAAAACAACAACCAGAGTGCTGCAGTAACTACTTTCACCCAGGACAGACAGATAAGGTAACTGTTATATGTAATTAATTTTATGTTTCCATTCATAGAGTTTAACTCATCATTAAATCAAAGTTTAACTTATTTGATGAAAACTAAATAACTGTGTTGCTGCAATAAGAGTTATTTAGTTTAAAGCTGGGAATGAGTTTAGAGGAATAATAATTGTATTGCCAAATATTGGATCTAAACTGTGGTGTATTGTTATTCCAGTTTGAACTTTGTATCTTCATCAGGTATGAGTAATTATAACACTAAAAATTTATCCCTTCCCTGGTCCCTTGGAGTGCCCTGGAATTTTCACATAAATGTGTGGTTAGTTATGACTGTCACTATAATTCAGTTACATTTTGGATTAAATGAGTTTTTAAGGACTATCCTTGAAACCCAACTGATATTTATAACATTACATTGTAATACTATAACATTTTTGCTTTTAGAAGATGTATTTCGAATTGTAAATATATACAAATAAACTTATAAACACAGCCCGTTCTTAAGTTTGGAATTACCCATTTTAAGTTATAAAGCCATATTGTCCTTTTTAAAAAGTCTTTTAAAAATATATATACACTCCACTGAAGTCTCTATTAATAATGTCTTGCCAGGGCATGAAAGACCCTGGGCTCTTGAAGGCTGTGCCAGAGGAGTTCAGGTTTTGGCAGATCCTCCCCAACTCAAAAGGCTTTAAGTATGTGCCCAGTGATGATCTTTGTTGTCCAAGGACTAACCTAGCTAAGTTCAGAGAGGTATAGCCTCAGGCTGCCTGCAGGGTAATTAACATTGTGGCCACTGACTTGTTGGAAGGGCTGTGTAAGCTTCAGTGAAGGGAGCACCTACCATGATGAAATCACATACTTTTGAAGTAATATTCTAATATAATACTAGTAGAATGCTAATATTATGGTAGAACCATATGCTTTATAGAATACACTATCACTTCTATTATATTAGTAGTCTGTACTTATAGGACTGTAATACTAGTATACTTTATACTCACATTGGCATCATAGTGATATTTTAGTGTAATGCCTATACTTTAGTGCAGTGTTCTGTTCGTGTTGTAGTTGAATATTCTATTGTGTTCTACAAAGTGTATTAGGTTTCTTTCAAACTCTTGCAACTAACAATCAAGCAGCACTGATGATGGGCTCCAGAGAACAGGAAGAAGGGTCATTTTAAAAGCTAAGAAAAAAATATAATTTTAAAAGTTGGACTTAAACTTGGACAGGTTCAATACTATGTAGTAAATATCTGAAAATAATCTCTGTCCTACAGAGCAAGAAACAAAAATAAATTGAAGAATTTAATTTTGAGGATTGAGATGATGTTTATCATAAACTATAGCCCAGCAAGATAATTTATATCTGTACTTATGTTATTTTACTTGTATTAATTTTTTGAGAAATGACATATTTTCTTGTTCTGTTTTTTTTGTCTTGCTGTTAAATAAGCTATTTCTTTACTGTGACTGGTTTCTTTGTGTTTTCTATAATCTTTTTACAGATTTTGCAGACTGAAGATTTTATAGGTTTCAAGTAAAATATATTTATTTTAAAAATATGAAATAGGCAAATTGTAAAAAAAGTAACCAACATTTTGGGCAGCTAGGTAGCACAGTTCATAGAGTGCCAGGCCTGGAGATAGAACGACTCCTTTTCCTGAGTTCAGATCTGGCCTTAGACACTTACTAGCTGTGTGATCCTGGGCAAGTCACTTACCAACTATTTTCTCTTTTTCCTGATCTATAAAATGAAGTAGGAAAGGAAATGGCAAACCACTCTAGTATCTTTACCAAAAAAAAAAACCCAAATGGGGTCATGAAGAGTTGGACTGGACTGAAATGATTAAACAACCAACATTTTATTTTTGTGTTTTGTGTGTATGTGTGTGTGTGTGTGTGTGTATTACACACACATGTGTACATATATTTACATGTATATTCAAAACATAACAAAAATGTAATATATTTAAGTACAGTATGTTATGCACAGGACTCTTAAGTAAGTTTCAAGTATTCTAATTTCTTTATATAGTCTTGTTGAAAAGTAATGTTCTTTCAAAGAAGGCAAATGGGAATCTTTTTCCCAAAAGGAAAAATGCAATAAAAAAAAGAAATTGAATTATGATCAGAATTATGCTGAGTAGACAAAAATATAAATCAAGATTGTATTTATCATTGATAAATTGTTTGGCAGCATTGTATAGTGGTAGGAGTGCAGGACTTGGAGTGGAGATAGACTTGGGTATAAGTGCTGGTTACGACACCATCTGTGACCCTGTACAAGTCACTCAACATTATCTAGGCCTCTGTTTCCTAATCATAAAATGAGGATAATAATATCCACAGTACCTGCCTCTTAAAGTTCTCTAAAAACTTTAAAGCACTAGATAAATATCAGTTATTGTTGTTGTTATTAAACTGTTATGTTTCTAAAACCCTAACATTAAGCCTGAATACCTTTATAAACATAGAGATTATCTTTATTTCCTTTACTCTGATAAATTTCAGCTTGCTCATGGTTGACAATGAACCAAATGCTGTACACATCTTTCTCAGGGTACCAAAAGGAAAGCTCATTTGTATTTTCTGTTATTTGTACATATTTTTGTTGTGAAAGACAGTGTGGCATAGAGGACAGAGTGCTGGATTGGAGTCAGAAAAACCTGGGTTCAGATCCCTGCCTCTGATGTGTGACCCTAGACAAGTCACATATAACATCCATGAATCTCATCCAGTTAACTAAGACTTTTCTATTGTGTTAGATGAGTTACTGTCTAGGCTGCACTGAGGAAAGCATAGGTCCTTGACATTTTTGTTGTATGTTAATTTTAGGCTGAAGTTTTAAAATTTGGATTTATGTGTCCAAAATAGAAACTAAGCACATCCACAAGGAGTCACATTTTTTATTTTGCTAAAGCATCACTAAGTATAAACTAAATAAATATCTCTATTCAATAAACTATTATTTATTTATCATATGTGCCTTATATGTTTGACCCTAGGGTTTTTTCTTTCCCTTTGCAGATTTTCTCAAGGTCAGCAACTGGTGACTAAATTAGTTACTGCTCCTGTAGCCTGTGGAGCAGTTATGGTACCTAGTACTATGTTTATGGGTCAGGTGGTAACTGCCTATCCCACTTTTGCGGCCCAACAGCAGCAGCCACAGACATTATCAATAACACAACAGCAGCAGCAGCAACAACAACAACAAAGCCAGCAGGAACAGCAGCTACCTACCATTCAGCAGTCATCTCAGGCTCCGCTGACTCAGCCATCACAACAGTTCTTACAGGTCACTCCTTTGACGTAGAATTTTCCCCAATACTCATTTAATTTTAGGTAATAGATTATTATTGGTAAACAAAATTAACTTTTTTTTGGTAAATAAACAAACTGGACTTCCAAAGGGGTTCAGTGTATAAGTTTGTTATATGCCCAAAATAGTCTTGATTCTAGTTGGCCTTAAGGCACAGTGAGACTATTACTGTTTGTCATAGTGACCCTTTTTCCCCTATTAATGACTCTTGCTAATTGCAAAATATTTACATACAGGGTGATTCAAATCTTAGTACATAGCTTAAAACAGTACTAAGACTTTTGGTCTTTAAGGAAAAAAAAAGTAGGTGCACTTGAGCAAATCTCTGTTCCCTGGATAAAGGAGCAGGGGCTAAATAATTGTATATCATTTGTTTTTAGACTTCCAGGCTGCTTCATGGAAATCCTTCAACTCAGCTTATCCTCTCTGCTGCTTTTCCACTACAACAGGGCACTTTGACTCAGGCCCATCACCAGCAGCATCAGTCTCAGCAACAGCAACTTCCTCGGCACAGAACTGATGGTTTGACTGATCCTTCCAAAGTTCAACCACAGTAGCGATTTGCCCCTTTTCTGACATTGAAGGGGAGAGAGTAGCTATTTCATAAAGAGTTGCACTGATGACCCAATGATGGTAGGAAAAATTTAGACTAAATAAGATGCAGTATTGGAAATCTGTCAGAAGTGTTCTGTGGAAGTACACATTAAATACTAGCCAGCAGGAAGATGATCATAGGGATGTGGCCAATTCTGACAGTGTTTTAGTTGCCCAGACATTTTTTTTTAATAAATAAGAAAAGAGCATCATGCCAAATGTTAATTTGCCCAACGGAGCCCGATCTAAAGTGAACCAGAAGGGCACTAACAATGTTCATTTCTGGTAATTCTGTGCATTTTATCAAATGTTACAGTAGACATGCTGTTGCCACACCAGTGGTTTGAATATTGCTAAAAAAAAAAATGCCATAAAGACAGTCCAGAAGACTTTGTCCTTTGTCAGGTGATTATGGGACAGTAAATATTTTCAGAATGTTGTGTGGAATCAAATTCTCTGTTGTACAGATGCTGTAAAATATTGTGTATATGTCTGGATAAAAAGAGAGCGCGCAAAATATTTTATATGCTGCATGGAAGCATACTCTCTTCTTTGTAGGTTTGAATACATTTCCTTAAATTCTTGCACCACATTCAGACTAATACATCCCTTTCTTTCCCTTTTGTTTACAACGCGATACATCGTTCTTTTCACTCTTTTGTGGGGCACAAGTCTATTTGTATTTTATCTGTGATGTCACAGTTTGTTCAGTGAGGTATGATGTGCTACTGGGAGTGGATTTTTTTCAGGTTAAATTATTGATGCAATTGTTGGAACTGATGGTCGTGCAACAGGGTTTTCAGGATGTTCAGAAATATCCCTTGTATCATAATTATTCAATTATGTTTGAAAATAGGATTTGCACTGTTTTATGTATGTAGATGGTTGGGAATTTTGCTCCCTGGAGTGATCACATCTTTTGATATAGTTCATAGTTGGAAATATTTATGTAAAAGTTTTAAAAAATAATTTCAAGAATATTTCAGCTATAGGAGTAATTTGCACAAAATGTACTTACATTTTAGGCACTTTTTAACTTTCTCTGTGGTGGGAACTGTAACTTGTTAAAATGTGTTGGAAATCTTTTTATTGTCTTTTACAACTTCAGTGTTTCTTTTAGACAGAAATGATTCAGGGTTGTTTGAAAAAAAAAAAGCCCCATAGTGCCTTGATTTTGATTCAGGTGATAATGCTGACCATTGTTTGAACTATGTTGTCTTGATTCTGTAGCAATATTACAGTTTTTGAAGTCTTAGTACAGTTTTAACAAAATCAGAGTGTTGACTAATATTGTTATTTTTCTCCCAGGGAAGACTACTTTATTTCAACTGGAGATCATGCGTAATTTGAAAAAAAGTGACACCTCTTTGTTTTCACAGTCATTAATATTATCCAGAAATTCAGAGCTTTCTTAAATGTAGACTTGGCTGCTTTCAAGCCACAATATTTATTTAAGAACTGAGTTGTAAATTGACTTGATATTCATATAGTTTAATAGAAAAAATTAGGAGGCAAGATTTGGATTAGTTGGATACTCAAAAATTAAAGTAACGTATTCAGCATGGTTTCTAACATGAACTAAGACTTAAGGCAACTTCATGTTACAAAGATAATAAAAAATTCCAACAGAAAAGATATACTTTAAAAAATGCTCTACAGAAGAAATTTTTTTATGGTACTTGTAATTAAGTCCACATCTACAGAGGAAAAAAAAAATGCAGAGGAAATCTTATTAGGATATTTGAAATTGCCCCCCACCACCACCAAGAACATTTAACACAGCAGTTATTGGTAAATAGTTTTATTTTTTCATGAAAATAACTGAACATGGAATGCTAGATAACTAAGATTCAAATTGAATCCTAAGGCTTTTTAAGATCCACTGTGGCTGAAACATTGTTATTGTTCTTGCATCCAATCAGCAACTAGTACTTAAAAACCACAATGGAAATGAAAAATAGAAATGAAAAATAAAGAACCAAAGAAAGGTAGGACCTGCCTCTGTAAAAAGGAGCAGGACAAGATACCAATATTTAACATATCAAGAATCCCTTTTCAAGCTGTGTAATCTTTCAGAAGAGATTTGTCATTCCCATAAATGAAAGAAAACCAGTTTTCACCCTGGTGTCTATATCTGAATATAACTATATATAAGCAAAACTGATGGTTTAGAATGTTCAAAATGAGATGTTATTTTTCCCTCACCTAAGATTGCCTTGTTAAAATTGTTATACCATTCCACATACACGTATCTGAAATAAGACTTTATCTGTTAGAGGTGTGTGCTGATAAAGATGAGATAAATATGTAGACCTATTTAAGGTATGCCAGGTAACTTTAAGCAAGCACCTGTCATTAAAGGAAAAACAGGGTGACCTCTGAGCCCTGCAAACTCAGGTTGATACAATCAAAGTGAAGCAGGAGGCTCTACTCTTAGCCAAGGAGTTAGTAAATCAGTAAATCTAAGTACCGTATTTACTCATGTTCTCCCTGTTACCCTGCCTTAAATAGTTCCCACCCAATACATATTTTGAATAGAAAATCAAGAGAAATTGTTTCAATGCATAATTCCCACTCCCCTCTTCCAGACTCTCTCTTGCTTTGAAATGGCAGCCACTGAAATGAAATACTTGGCTACTTTTCATTGACCAGGGTGGTGTAGGCTAGTCTCCATCCAGCTGCCACTTACTCTCCATCCCCTTATTTTTGTCTCTCACTCTCTCTCCCACCTATCTCTCTTGGTCTAGGGCTGGTGGGGCACTTGCAGTCTGGAGGCCATTGTAGGTTTCCCAACCCGGTAGGTATGCGAGTTTCTAAAGTACTTTCAACTATATGGTGAAGGTGTTAGGTGAAGCTATGGTAGCAGCTGCCTAGTTCTTAAACTCAATCTGTCTCTTAAAAGGAAAGATCACAAATTAAAATGCTACCTTTTAGAATTTAGAAAATCCACCAAATTCTCCCTATCAAACATATCTGAAAGAAGCTTTCGACACTAAGCAGCACTTTTAAAGAACAAGAGAGGATGCAAAGAAAACGTTAGGAGCTCTAGCTTTTTTGTGTGTGTTAGCACGCTGGGAGAGAATTTCAGAGACTAATCAACATTGCAGAAAGTGGTGACTCATTGGAACCCAGAGGCTCATTCTCCTGTTTTTTGAGCCAAAAATCTGAAAGGAAAAATGAGATTATGTTGTCATAAGCATGATGATTCAGGATTGATTCTCTGTACCACCTTATCTGATGAAGATAATCCTTTGTCTTTGTAAACCTGGTATGTACCAAGAATATACTGGTAGTAATAGGAAACCAAGGCAATCTACTGGTTTTAGATAAAGAAACTTGGAGCAGAATGTATTAAAAATATTTGGATCTTTTGTATGGTATTGTAGGCATTGCCTTAAAAGGAATCTGTTGTCCTGTGAGCTATTGAATTAGCTATATAGAAGGGCTCTGTGATTCAGACAGGTCTTAAACAAAAAGCCTTAGAGAAGAGCACTTAAAATGGAATTGTTTCCCCTGCTAATTACTTATGGAGAAAGATTCCATGTAACTGGAAAATTATTCAAGACATTTAGACCACTTCTGCCATTTCTAGGTAAACTTTTTTTTTAAAGAATAGAAAGCATATAGCATTCTACCTGAAACCCATTTTCTATCTACTTTATTTCTTTTTTGTCCTACACTTTCATTAGTGACTTTGAATGTATGGGTAAGCATATTTTGCTTGTGTCAAACTCATTCACGTATATAGCCTCTCCAATGTCTGTGACCCTGCTTATCAGTCCCATGGGAGTAATAATGTTGGAAGGTACAAACACTGGATATTAACATTGCTGAAGTGAGTCTGACAAGGAAGCTAGAGCACTAGAATAAGAATTGTGGAAAAGAAATTGCACAAAGGCACTTATCCATTTTAAGGAAGATTAGATGAAGATGTGCATTTTTTTTGGTTTGTTTGAATTAGGTAAGAACTTTCTGAACTGAGCTCCTAAAGTCATTGCAAAAGAAAAGAAATATAAATATTTTTATAGTATATTTAATATATATATATATTTGTATATAACTGTAAAAGTATAGTAGGAGCCCTTCACATGCCTTCCATTTTAATCTAGTTTACTTTTGCCATAGCGCTTAGTGTTTTTCCATCTGTATAGGTAATGTGCCTACTGTCAGCTTACCAAAAGATAGTATTGCTGCTTTCTGGGACAGGTGAGAACCAATTTCTCATGCCTGGGGATCCTTTTACATGGGGAATAATGACAAACCCTTTAAAAACTCAAGTTTAGTACCGTCTAAAAACATCATCTGGATATCTCATGAGCACTTTATTGTAATTACTCATTTTGACAAACAGTTTATCATTACAGATGTTATTCCCAAAGGGCCCCATGTCACCATTTGAATAATAAAGTGATACGTTTCAGGTCTAAGCATTTAGACTCAGTGAACCTTAGGTTTATGGGAGTGATTTTAAAGTGTCAAAAACCACTTGGCTCTGTTTTTGTTTTTCAAATGTTGAAGGAATTGTTTGTAGGTGAATAGTTCCATTTAGAGATTTTCTTAAATCTGTCTTGCCTTTTGTGTGGCCACCAAAAAAAATATAAATAAGACCAATGAGCCTGTTTAGTTTTCAGAAGTCTAGAAAAATTTTCTTCTGACTAGGGGTATAGACCTAATGTTCAATAAATTGGTAGTAGCAAATCCTTGAATATCAGTTTTAAGAAGCAAACCAAATTGTTCTGAATGTTTTAAATGTTGTGTCCTACAGTGTTGGCAGGCCATTTTAGTGTCTCATTTAAATTGTTCTTAAAGCAGTTCTGTACTAGAAAACCTGGGGAAATGGCTGCTTTGGACAAGATTGAGAAGAATCTGTCATTCAATCTTATGTTGTCTCCTTTGGAAAAACTGGAGATAACTGAAATGTATTGAGGTGGTCATTAATGCAGGATGTTAGAAACTGAATGTTGACTAATTCAGAAGAAATGAATCAAACTTGGACATTAAAAAAATTTAAAACCGCTTGTGCACAAGAATTTTGGAAGTTTCTTCATGTCCTAATTTAACACTACATTCCTTATTTTTCTTAAATAAAATAGTAATTTAAAGGTTCTGTGATGTTTTCAGTGCTTTATGCTTTGTTAATTGCCTAGGTTTCCTCAGCCTGATGCTCCTTAATGAAATAATATATTATTTGTAAAGAAGGTATTACAAAACAAACCCTTACCCACCAGCAAACACTGAGAGGTGCTGCACTGAGACAATCAAAATAGTATTTATAAATAATTTGGAAAATGGTTTTAAAGGAATAATTGCTTTGAAAGCACTTATGTGACTTATTAAAAGACTAAAAGTATTTATTTTAAAATAAATCTGAGTGTTAGAAACTGAATGTTAAGGTGATCTGTATCATTTTTTGTTTGCTTTTTGATTGGCATAAAGAAACCCTTTCATTTTGGGCCCCTGCTATTTATCATTTTCATGTGCATCTGTGGCTGTCCTTATGTAGGTCAGCCGTGAAGGAACTATAATCCTTCACCTAAAATATAGCAAAACTATCTCATTGCCCTACTGCTCTTAACTGGTTTTAAAAAAATCAGAATAAAGGTAACTCCTTCAAAAGACTTTTATTGCACTTGTTGCCTTTTCTGTTCTGTAGGGTTTACTTCTTTAAGGTTTTAGTTTTTTATTAAAGTATAAAAGCACTTTATATGTAATTCCTTCCCTAGTGCAGCCTAAGAGTGCTCAGAACCTATGGCACATTTTGTCCAATAGTTTGTCTCCTTCTTGAACTCTTGAGAAAATGACTAGTATCTTTTAATAGTTATGTTACCACTACTTTATCCTATGAAGCACAGTAGAAGTGGTGCCATCTCATCTGCATAATAAAATCTTTAAATGCCGTTATATGTTAATGTTGGTCAAACCTCTTGACATCCCCCACCCAATCTTCCATTAGTTTCTGTGTCCATTTCATAGCATGTTTCTGAGGAAGTGTTATTTGGACAACTGAAGGCGGGTAGGGAGGATTTCAGGTTTCAGATGGTTGTAGGATTTATAGTTTAGACATACCAGAGGAGTCTCCCGAGTTCTGGATGTCAAAATAAAGCACAATGACATTTGGTAATGTAGAAAACTGTCTTTGCCTCGATGGGTTGAAGTTGAATATGTGATAAGCATACTTTTAAATTTTCTAGGTAAACAAACTGACATCATTTGAAGGGTGACATTGTTTGAATGTTCTCTGTGCTTGAGTTAAGACTACTGGTGCAGGTTTATTGCTGGCAGCGTTTGCACCAAAATACCTGGCACCAAAGAGTTACTTGGGGGAAGCTCTGTAAATGTTTTATCTTGAAATCCTTGATCCCACCCTGAGGTGTTACTGCATTAAGTAACTAGACAATCAGTTTTTAAACAAAATTGTCAGAAAACATCTATTTTTTTCCCATAGATGCCAATCAAAATAGGTATAATTTAGACCACTGCTAGAACTGTTTTTCAAATTCATTTTACTATGGTATACATTTGAAAAGGGCCTCAGTGGCAAAGAAATTAATTCCATGTTCACTTTATATAAAAATTAAAACCCAAAGATAAAATTAAGTTGATGCTGTTCTGGATACAAATTTAATACAAACATGGTTTATCTCTGTAAATTTCTAATTGTTAACATCTGCTGATAGTTGTAAGAAGAATAAGAATTGTCTGGATTTCTATGTAGTTCTTCGTGTGTCTCTGTCCTGTTATTCCTGTTCCTCTTACTTGATTCTTGATCTGAATTAGATAAAAAATATGCCTCAGTTTTACAGGGGTTAATCACCAGATTAAATACACAAAATTTTAATTCTCAAAGGGGACTGCTGAATGAATCTTCCCATCTAAAACATGAATCTTCCATTTAGAACATTTAGTTAAACAATAATGGTCGTTTTTTTCTGTATTGCTACTTAAATGTATTCTGCCTAAAATCCTACACTGCAGTGACGTATGCAGTGAAGTATGACAGTTAAAGAATGGTTTCAGTGGTGCTGTGTTAGGATCTCTGTGTAGTTACAGAACCTGTAGCATCATTCTCCTTAAGTCAAATGCCTACTTTGAAAAGTACCCTGTTGCCTCAGCTACTAAATTATGGGGATATAGTACATGGGGAACACACCATTTTAATTTTGTGCCATGAAATTTTATCAATTTAGTGTTGCCTTTTGTGTTTCAGTATTACAGCTGGTTATGCTTGTTTTCTGGCTACACTCCTATATGTAACTGTTTGAAAAGGTGAGTTAAGTAGCTTACTGTCTTTTGTTAATATGGCCAAAAATGTCCTATAGTCTACACTATTGTTTTGCCAAGTTATCCTTAGGAATTTGTGTAAAGATTTTAAAACAAACTGTACTACTAACAATGCATTTTCCCTTAGAATACTGTACTCAGAACTTTAGCAAAAGAGCCAAACCAGTAGCATATTTTTTTCTTCATGTAAAAAAAAACCAAACCAAACCTAACAACCTTTTGTTTCTCTTATTCAGTTTTGAAAATAAAAACAGTACCTCAGTGCTAATGTTTTTTAATGTCACCTATATGATATAAATTACTGTGTTTATCTGGCACAGAACTAGAAAATTAAATATTTTCAGAATTATTGACAGTGACCTCTCCCTTTATATTCATCTAACTAACTAGTTGAATTGCATATGTGCTTTATTACCTTATCTTTATAAGATAGATTGTAGTATTATTGTGGTAGGAGAATTACGGGAAGCTATAATACTAGCTTAATGCTAACATTTCTTATAAGCCAATGTTGTGAGCAGGAGGAAGGCTAGTTGTAGTTACTATATAATCAGTCTTCTTCCCTTCCCTAGGAGATGTCTCAGCGCAGAGCTAGAAATTATAGGCACCCTGCCTAATAAGCATCCCTTAAACAATAGTTAATCTTGCCTATTTAATGTTTGTATTTACTCATTAGACACTCTTTTGTAAGCCTCTGCAAGATAATTTACACAGAAAACCCACCAGATGTTCTTACAACTATTTTTATTTACATAATTTCCATATTACATTTAATATTTGCTATAGAGAAAATATAAATACAGTATTTTACTTTTTAATTTGGTAATTCAGCATTGTCAAATATTGACCATTACTGTATATTGTGAGTTTCCAACCCAATTTTTTAAAAAGCGGGCCAGGAAAACAAAAGTCCTATGAATTGCTTACTGTTAAATAGCAGTGAAATCAGCCTTTCTAATGTTTTATCCAAAAAGCCTAATTTCTAAAAAGATTGCTGGCTTGGGGTAGAAATGCCAGTATTTCGGAAATTTTTTTCAATATTTTCCTGAGTCATACACTTTCAGTTATATCCTGTTATTAATACTGGGACAATCTTAATTGTGAACACACTCAAAAATGAATCTATTCAGTTTACCAGATGGTAATCCAAAAGAAAGAGAAAAGTTCTAGAGACTTATCAGTGAGTTAGTACCAGATGCCAGAGCACTGGTTCTAGGTACAGGGATGGAAGGAAGGCAGGACTGGGAGGGGGAAAAAAAATACCACCATTCATATTTAACAATGAACCATCTAAAAAAAATTTACATTGCAGATAGAATCATTGGTTATCCTTTTTCACATAAAACTACCATCTTATAGTGGGCTAAACTCACAAATCAATGCTATAAAATAAAATACAGCATTTTTCATAGTCACTATTATATACACTATGTACAAAAAGATAGGCAACACCCCATCTTATACTCTAAATACAAATGGAGAGGACTCTTATTAAAAACCATAGTCTGGACTTATAAATAATGCAGAGAAGGCAAATGCCAAGAAGACAATTCCTCCTATGATCGTAACTGGAAGAGAAAATGGGAAAATGGTTAGAGTTCTTATCTTTGCTTTACTGTAGAAAGACCGTATACAAAATGATGACTCAGGTAGCTGTGTTCACCTATGGTTTCATCCCCTCAAAACTGCATCTAATCAAAAAAGATTAAAAACTAAAATCTAGAACTATTAAAGAGATTCTACTTAAAATCACAAGGTCTGTTGGAAGTGCTCAGTTGTAATAATGCTTTGAAAAACGAATGTGGTATTTGACTACCACTAAAAATCCCTTACATTTTATGTTTGGGAGTTTTCAAAGTGCTTCTTTTGTTTGATCCATGCAATGGCCTTGAGAGGTGGAGGCCGAACAAATGGTAACTTCACCATTTTATAAATGAGGAAATTAAAGCTCAGCCAAGGTCCACAAACAGAGATGGGACTGGATCACTACCCACTCCCAGTGCTCTTTCCACTGAGCTCTCATGGGGCTGCTGCTGAAAGGGCATTGCAAACCTTCCAGTATGACACAGACACGAGTTTTTATTTAACTAACCATTGTGGTAACCCAGCCTACTTTAAAGAAGGCAATGTATAGTCCAGTGAATTATGTGAAGAGAGTAGGGCAGGCCAACCACAGGATACTATTTAGTAACAGTAAGCAGTTTTTTGGGTATTTAGCATGACAAGCTTAGAAAACAAAATCAGCTGATGAGATAGTCATGAATTTTAAAATGAGAAAATTAAACTACAAATGGGAAGGTTAAATGGCTAAAAGCTAATGCTGAATATTAACTGGGTGAGCTCAATGTTTCCTAACCATAAGGACCAAGTCCACTTAAAGGGTGACTACTTGGAAAATTTTTTGTTCCTCTATGTTCTCAGAAGCAGGTACCTGCTATGCTAATCAACAGCTTTGCTCCCTATTATAGTCCCCTCCCCAATCTGAAAATAAAGGCAAACAATGCCTAGCTTCAGTTTTGTGATTTAAAATAGTTCTATAAACCAATTAGGGACTCACCAGTCCTAACAGATATTTTTTGTGCTATCATTCTTCCTCCAATTACTGCCAGTCCAGTGCATAAGCAATGTCCCACTGTTCCACCTACTGCCACACCATAAGGATCCTGAAAAGAAACGCAGTTACCATTAATGTAAAAACAAGGCTAAAATAACAGCTTATGAAGAAAGATTGTTAGTAAGCCTTAAAAAATTAAGCCAAAACCAAAAAGGCAAAAGGATTTCTAGGAACAAAGATAAGGACAGATTTTTTTTGTGGTAGTCAATTAGTTTTGTCTGATGCTTTGTGACCCCATTTGGGATTTTCTTGGCAAAGACACTGAAGTGGTTTGCCATTTCCTTCTCCAGCTCATTTTACAGAAGAGGAAACTGAGGCAAACAAAGTTAATTGATTTGCCCAGGGTCATACATTGTGTCTGAGGTTGAATTTGAAATCAGGTCCTCCTGACTCCACACCCAAAACTCTATCCAGCTTGCCACCTCGCTGCCCAAAGGCAAATAACCTACATATTATTAATACATTTATGAAAAGTATCAAGGCTGCTAGAATGAAGTGGGTAATGGTTACGTAAACATGGCCTGAAGCCAGAAATTATTATCCTCCCCAAAAGCTAAGACACATGAGCCTCTGGGGCAGACAATCAATGCTATAAAGTATATGTGAAGCACAAAATAGATAAAAGGTATCCTTTCAGGGGAAAGCCAAGAAAAGCCTTAAGCCGGTGACTGAGCTGAGTCTTAAAGGCAACTCACTCAGGATTCCAGGTGGTGGAGGTGAGAAGGGGAAGCATTCCAGGCATGAGGAACAGCCAATGAGAAAGCATGGAGGCAGAAGATGGAGTACCATGTGTGAGAACATGTACCTGACCATGTAAACGGCCTGTATGGCTGGGTCAGAAATATGTGGAGGGGAGTAATGTGTAAGAAGGCTGAAAAAGTAAGATGGAGTTAGATTGTGAAGAGCTTTCCAGGCCAAACAGAGAAGCTTCTATTTAATCCTACATGTAAGAGAATTTATTGAGAGGGGACTTGGGGCAGAGGGTGGGAGTGACAGACCTGTGTAAGCACAATGATGGCTGTGTGGAGAAAAAACCATAGCCTGCCCAGGTAAGAGATGTTGAAGAGATAGAAGCAAAACTGGGCAACTTATCTAGTGAGAATTTTTTCAGGATGAGAGAAACTTGGGTGTATTTGTAGTCATCAAGGGAAAAACATCTAGCCTTTGCTTGAAGACCTTCAGTAGTGCTGAAGTGATTATCTCAAAAGCAGTCCATTTCACTTTTGGATAATTCCAATTGTGAACGTTTTTCTTTGCATCAAGCTTAAAATGCAGCTTTTCCCCATGGCTACTGTTTTTGCAGAACAAGTCTAATCTCTCCCATATGACAGCTATTCACATTCTTGAAGACAGTTAGCTTTCGTGTGTCCTCTCCCACCCCATTATTCTCTTCTTCAGGTCAGACACATCTGGTCTTAAAATTGTATGATTTTTCTTTTTAAAAAATGAAACCTGGATTTAAATCAGGCTTCAAATCAAGCTCTTTGCTACTGACTACCTGGGTGACTTTAGGCAGCTATAAATCCTAACTATAATTAACTTTTGATTCCATGAACCTCTGGGACAGTTCTAAATTCTACCACTCCAGATCTTTGGTGATATAAATACCTGTACTAAGTCTTTCAACAAACACTGAGAAGAAAATACAGCATTTTAATGAAAAGTTATTGGGGTTCTCTAGTGAAATTATTTTTCAGCTATCCTTTTTTATAATGAAGAATCACACCTTTAATGCAAGAATTGCAGTTCCAGTAAACTTTGGAAACTGTAAGCCTTCTTAATGTTTCTGCCGTACTTTAATTTCCAACCTAAAGATTTTTACTGTTTCAGTTTAGACTTATAAATAAAAGCCCAATCTAAAGATTTTTTTTCTCATTAGTATTCCTAGTCCAAATGATAGAAGCAAGTGAATTATTCATTTAGTAAGATTTAGTAAGCACAGGTTTGAAAAATAACAATATTCTACTACAGCCTATGCCCAAGTCAAACTTCAAAGGAATACGGTTAGGAAAAAACATTAACCACAACTGGTGACAGTATTTCATAGTATAATATTTATTTAGAAATAAGGCTCAAAAGTTTAAAAATATGGTCACTTTTAAGTACTTCCTTCTCTATGTTGAGCAATACTTAATAGTGATAGGAAATGCTTAAAAGTCAGGGAAAAGAGCTTAAAATTTTACTCCAGTCAACAGATAATAGGGATAATGACAGGGCCTGAACTTGTGGTTTCACTAGTGTAGGAAAGGCAAGGGCACCTTCTCTGAAGTTCACAGCCTTTGTTGCCTAGAGCAGAAGAGTTGAACACACTGCCCACTCCTGAGTGCAGTCCCAAACAGATTAAAATAATTTGGAAATTTTTTTAAAGTATGTAGAAACATAATGAAACATAGATAATATTAATATGTGGTTTTCTAGGCCAATATGACACCTGCAGGGATGCTTATGTAAGGTTTAGTGGCCTCATTTTTATTTCAGTTTGATACTCTGGCCTGGATCTGAGAGGTTAAGAAATTTATCCAGGGTCACACAGCCAGTATGTAGTGGAGGTGAGGGTCAGCTATCTATCCATGATTATATCCACCAGGAAAATTATGTGAAGAAATTTGGAACTATAAATGCAATATGAATCTGTCTCTAATTTTAATAGGCAAAATGCCCCAAGTACTAAATTATAGCCACAATATTCAGTACCTTTCAGAGTCAAGAAAGGATATTCAAACTACCCTCATTTGATTCTGTACTTCAAGAAAATATATTTCATACTGTTAACATGGAAACAAAGTCTTAATGGGATATGGAATATAAACATTATGTCCTAACTTTATCTGCAAATTTTCTATTACATTTTTTTCTATATTTTATTTTCCCCCAATTACATGTACAAACAATTTTTAACATTTGTTTTTTAAATTTTTGAGTTCTAAATTCTCATTCTCCCTTCTCCTCCCTGAGATGGTTAGCAATTTGACAAAGGTTACCCATGTGCAATCACGGAAAACATTTCCATATCAGTCATATCTACATTTAGAGATAACACTGAATCACAGATTTACATTTGACCGTTTAGGAATCTGGGGTCCACAGAGGTTAGTGGGTCACAACGTGGCAGAGGCATGTTGTTCAGTCGTATCTGACTCTTTGTGACCCCATTTGGGGTTTTCTTGGAGTGGTCTGTTAACTTCCTTCTCCAGCTCATCTTATAGATGAAGAAACTGAGACAAATAGGGTTAAGTGACTTGTCCAGGGTTCACAAATTAGTAAGTGTCTGAGGCTGGATTTGAACTTGAGTCCTCTGACTCTAGACCTGGTGCACTATCCACTGTATTGCCTAGCTACCTGGTACCTAGGCAGAGGCATGATCTGAACCCAAATTCAGAACTCATTCAGCTTTTATGAGGCTGCCTTACTCAGGCATGTCTTCCTGATTTCTTGGTCAAAGGGACTGGCAGATGACCTGTTATCAGTGACCTCACCAGCAAATACGAAAAGGCTCGTAACACTAATGCATTGTTGGTGGAGCTGTGACTTGGTCCAGCCATTCTGGAAAGCAATCTAGAACTGTATCTCTAAAGTAACTAAACTGTACATACCCTTTAACCCAACTATGCCCCTACTAGGCCTGTGCCCCAAAGAGATTTTTGAAAAGAGGAAAAGGACACAGGTACACAAAAATAATAAGAGTAGCACCTCTCATAGTAGCCCCAAACTGAAAACTAGGGTAATGTCCACCTATTGGGGAATACCTAAACAACTGTGGTATATGAACATAAAATATGACTGCTCCACAAGACATCACAAAATGGAGAGTTTCCAAGGAAACTGCAAAGATTTTTATGATCTGATGCAGAATAAAGGGCCAAACTAAGAGAACAATTTATACAATGACAGCATTACAGAGAAAAAACAACCTTGAAAGTCCTTATAATTTTGAATTTGGACCTGGCCAATGTGGGGATTTATTTCGCTAGATTCTGCACATTTATTGTTATTGTTTGGGAGGTGGGTGGGTGGTGGGAGTGGAGAGAGAATTTAAAAAGAAAGAAAAGGGCTCATGGCTATTGGACATTAAATAAAGTGGAAAAAAATTCACTGAGCTGTTAAGAAAAACTATCAACTTCTCTGTTGACCATATAAAGGTATAAATAAGGGTATCAAATAATCCTCCTTAAACCTGGAAGGAATAAAATTACCATTAATGGGGTATTCTGACAGCGAGCTGGCAGATTTCCCCAAGTTTAAATCTGATCTCAGACACTAGCTGTGTATACCTGGGCAAGTCATACAACCCTGTTTGCCTCAGTTTCCTCATCTGTAAAATGAGCTAGGGAAGGAAATTACAAATCACTCCAGTATCTTTGCCAGGAAAACTCCAAATGGAGTCACGAGTGGAACATGACAGAAATAACTGAACAACAATGGGCATTCAAATAGGTTAGCATTTAATAAGGCTTTAGTCAGTTATATTACTTAACTGTAGCCTTTTGAAATAATTTAGCCTATACAATATTACCTACCTCACAGGGGGGAACCTCTAGCCCGAGGCTTAGCTCTCTATATTCCAACAACTGTCTTTTGCTGCATCTCCACTTCCTCCCTTGCTGCTCCCCTTTAATAACTATAATATGAAACTAAAATGATTTATCATACTTGTTTTAAGCAATTGAAGAGTTTTACATTCCCAGTTCTTGACCTTAAAAAGAAAACACATTTAAAAAAACCAACCAGCAATATTCCTAAATTGAGTTGCTTTTTCTCATGTGGAACTTTCAAGTCAGTGGTCCTTACAAGAAACGATTCTGATATGAAAGTACCACAATCTCAAAGTAGCAAAATATGCGGAATGTTGTTTAGTATATATACACATTCTGCATCAGAGGGGTCAAACACAGCCCGTGGTCAGCAATCAACATTCCAACACTGAGTACAAGAACCAGATTAAAATGTAACTGGCAAATATTTAACAAAATAATTAAAAATAAAGTAAAACACAGATAATGTTAACTTGTGGTTTTCTAAGTCAATATGTGCCCTCAGGGCACAGTTTAGTGGCTACACTTGTATTTGATTTTGACACCACTGCTCCAGTAGTGCTTATACATTGTAATGACATTATAAATAAGCAACTTCTACACAAACATCTTGATTTGCTTTATTATTTTAAACCATTTTCTTGTGTTTGTTATTATAAATTAAGACATGACCAAAAAGCATGGGAAAGGAGAAATACCAAGCCTAAATTTATAAGTGTAGAAACATCTTTTTTGGCTTAATTTAGGAAGACTTTTTATAGAAGGGAGGGCAAGAAAGATTTTTAAAGGGTCAGATGGTCCCACGCACGTAGAACAACATGAAATAAAACATGAATCTGAAAGCCTGTTTGATGGCTAAGACGAAGGGAAATGACCAGGAAAATAAAGTGAGCCTACTTTTCTGAAGCACTTTCCATACATTACCTAATTGGGTAATGGATAAACTAAAAGGGCTCCTCTTTCACAAAAGAAAATGGCTACATAAACCAAGGATAATTTTGAGAAAAAGAGTGATTGAATCAGAGAATTCTCTATAAAAGATAATATAATAACATTTTAGAAAAACTGGAAGTTGAAGCAATGTAATCAGTAAAGACAACAGAAGTCCAGGCATTCCAAACAATACCCTAATGAATGATGTAGCTGTAGGAATTAAGGAGTATAGTAGATTATTACACTAGAATGAGGTATCCCACATATGTCAAACAAAAGCAATCCTAATAGGTACTTCAAATATCACTCACCTCTCTTGCTGCCAAAACAATTGTAGTTAGTTGAGAGCGATCACCCCATTCTGCTAAGAATGTTAAAGTAAGAGCTTGAACAAAAATAGGAGAAATAAAGTGCAGCCACTTTTTCTGAGGTATGGTTGTGCTTGTACCAGTCTCAATATCTCCTGGACCATTTAAGAGTTTGGTTCTTTGAAGCTTAAAAAAGAAAAAAAAAGTCATGATATAGGGGCACTCAAATTCCCAAAGTGAAGCAAAGTATTTAAAAAGTTACGTAAAGAAATACTTCTATATTCACTGTCTGAAATTCCACAATCCTTCTTTAGTATTAAAATATTCACAACTACCTGCAGTTTTTTTTTTTACAAAGCTGATCATGGCTAAGGAGTATTTGTGCTCTACAAGACAAAAAATAATGTTCCATCTTAACAAATGCCAAATGAGTTAAAACAATGAACATAATATTTTTAAAAATTTAATTGAGAGCAAGAAGTATCATTATTTTAGGGAAAATGATCAAGTGAATTAAGTTATATAAGCTGAAGTCACCCATCTGGGCTGTGTTTATATCTAGAATTCTAATCACCTTGTTTTTTATAAATTTGCTGGGCGCCCACTACATGAGAGACATTGTACTTGGTGCTACCAATAAAAACAAGGATAAGAATGGCCTCCTTTCTAGAAGCCTGAAGGCTAAGGTTTTCTAACTTCATAATTTTGTTTGAATATCAATAAAATGCTTCTCACCTCACACAGACGATCCTTTGGGCTCACATACATTTTGAGCTGGAAACCCACAGGATGGCATTTCTTCTTCTAACAATTCTGACCCAGCAAGAACCCTTGTTATAACCAGCCCTTGAAACAGTAACCAGGAAAAAAAAAGCTTTTTGTGTGTATGCGCAAGCGTGCACAGTGTTTACATCTGTTACACACTGACCTAGCCACAGCTAAGACTCAGTATTGTGTTCTCAGTTCAGCATCTTACTGACCAAAATATTAAATACTGGGACTTACTTCTTCATCTTTTTTCTTTATTTCTGCTTGAACTTCTTCCAATTCCTCCTGACCCTCATCTGGACTCATCTTCAAGCCTTCCCTAAGCATTCTGATACCAAAAATTGCAAATAATGCAGTTGACACATAATATGTGTATACTCTGGGAATAACCGTGGTGGCATAGCCAAACAAAACTGAAAGAAAATAAAATTGTGTTGCACTTTAAAGCACTGAAAAAAATACTATCTTCTCTTCCTGCTTATAAAATATTTCTATAAAAAAATCATCATAAAAATTAGATCTACTTTTTACCAATTGACCTAACAGATTTACTTCATTTAATATTTTTAGTTTTAAATCTTAAAAACTTTGAAGTATTGGTTACTTGCCATAAAGTATTTTAAAAAAATTTTAACCCAGTTTATTTCAGAAATTCTATTACAAACCAGTATTTGTGGCTATAGACCACAAATATAGTTTACAAAAGTACTGATACTTATAGTTTGTGTTATCATATCATGTGATAAGTCAATTTATTAACACCAATTTGAGTCACTGGTAAAAGATGAAAATAAGAACTTAGCAAGAAGGTGGGCAGGGGTACAGTTTTAGCTTCTACAAAAAGTTTTCCATGCAAAGAAATATAAGGAAACAGCAAAGAGATGCATCTTAATTATGCAACACAAACAGTAATTTAAATTTGCTAACAGAAAGCAAACATATGCAAAATCCATGGGATGTAATAACTATACTTCATTTTTAGGGCAGATTACATACTTCTCAAAAATTGCCTGAAAAGCAAATTTATACACTTGTATGTATAATTTTTTATACTGACTTCCATTATAAAATCTAAAAGATAAAAAAAAAATCACACAAACATGAAACAAATTTGAAAATCACAGAAGGAGCTTTCATTTGTAAAAGGTAATGAGAAGCAAAATTTATCTATATTGAGAGTACCTACAGTTCTTCGTCAATTATCTGTTCAGAAAGAAGTTCTTTCTATTTGAGCTAGTACCTATTTCTTTAGTTACTTTTGGTTGCCATTTCTGCTTGTTGTTCCAGTCATTTCAGTCTTGTCCGGCTCTTGGTGACACCATTTGGGGTGTTGCTAGCAAAAATGCTAGAGAGGTTTGCCAATTCCTTCTCTGACTCATTTTACATTTGAGGAAACTGAGGCAAACAAGGTTAAGTGACTTGCCCAGGGTCACACAGTTAGTAAGTGTCTGATGCTGGATTTGAACTCAGGAAGATAAGTCTTCCCAACTTCAGGCCTGGCACTCTGTCCACTGTGCCACCTAGCTACCCCTATTTCTGCTTTACTTAATCTTATTTTATATACAGCTTACATCGTATCAATAACAACCAAACAAGAATTTATTAAGGGTCTCAGTGGCAGGCATTGTGCTAAGTAAGATGTTAAGGAGAAAAAAGAAAAAAGTAAACTGGCTCCTTTCCTCCAGCAGGTTATGTTTTAATGGGACGCAGCAGAAGAGAAACCCACAGATTTAACTCCTGTCCTTACTCTGAGAAATGTGACAGACAGCAGTTACATTCAAAGGAGTTCAGAGCAAAGTAACCAACAAAGTCAGAGCTATCCTATTTAAGTGCTTCTCCCCTGGCCCGGTGAGTTCTCAAGGCTGACTGGCCCACATTCTGCATAACGGGATGAATGACCACGGCACTGACCAGCGAGTAAGAGGCAGGCTCTGGCCAAGCTGAGTCACTAACTGTAAGACTTGGGTCAATCTGCTTCATCTTTTTGACCCTCAGCTTCCACATGTAAAACAAAAGGGCTTGATAACATTTACTTTTGTAGCTCATCCCCCCCTCCCCCCAGCACATCTAAAATTCTGATTCTCCTTAAACGTAAGTACAAAAACTTTTTCCAACTAAATGGCTTTGGGATTACTTACCAGTTGGGATTATCTACATTTCTTTTTCGATTATGTAAATAATCAAGTTATCTTATTTGAAAACCAACTATAAAATTATGAACAACACTCAAAATAAGCTCTTGTCATATTTTTAAAATGTGTGCCTGTATTTTTCATCTGTGCAGTGAATTCTCAGTAGGGATATTTGACTGCACCAATGTAGACCCACACTTGCTTGTAAGGAGCTCAGAGAGCTGCCTGAAGCATAGAACAGAGGCAGACCTCAAGCACAAGTCTTCCTGATTCCAAGACTCAAAATGTTACAATTTTGAAAGATGCTGATCCTTTTTATTTCTGGCATAATCAATTACACGTCTGAATGACAGGGAATGGATATGTGATTTTACTGGTACAGGGCACTCCTGGATGAGCAAATTCCTTCAACAAATGCAAGTCAGCACTTCCTCTGTAAGCCGCAGCCTCAAGAGAGCTGTCTGAGTTGAGGGGTCAAATATGTGGCCTAGGTTGCTCCTGAGTGCAAAGGGAGCCAGATTAAAATGTAACTGGTAAATATTTAACTAAATAATTTTTAAAAAAAAGATAATATTACATTTTTAAATAACTATGTCACTATGTGGCCCACAGGGATCCTCTGTGAGGATTAGTGGCCACTGCTTCTACACCACTGACAGGTACTCTGTCCAGGGTCACAAAGCCACAAAGTCAAGTCAGAAGTGGAGCTGGAACCCAGGCCTTCCTAACTCTGAAACCAGTTTTTTATCCCTCTATCACTGCCTCTTTTTGAGAGGAAAAAACGCTGAATAAAAAGCCAGTTCAACAGGGAGATTATTAGCCAGAAATTTGATGGGTATTTCATTTAAAACTTTCCCAGTACAATAACAGATGACCGAGAGGCACAAGATTCTGAAATACATTTTAAATCAAAGATTAAAGTTCTATTTTATAGAAAAATGTATTTTATATAAAAATGTAGCTAAAAGAACACTCTATTTCTTAAGCAAAATAAATAAGAATTTTTCCCAATAGCTTAACAAAATACAATGAATTGAAAGTCATTAACTTCTCAGCTAGTAATCCATTTTGTCCCCAGTGTCATTCAACAGGAAATAGGCAATTCTCTTTTGTGGAAACTTTAGAAAATTTTAGAAATTTAATTAGATTTATCCAGATTGAAATAAGGAAAAGCAGGATTACAGCAAAAAACAGTGCAGTAAGTTAACAGGATAGTGACTCAAATGGCTGAATTAGGAAAGCTAGAAATTATGCAAAATTAGTTTTCAAGTAGTGCATAAAGAATAAGTTCCCTAATTTATAAATTCTAGCAGTAAATTTCTGAGTATAATTTCTATTATAAACCTCCAACTTCAATCTGTTTAAGATTTAAATGTAAACAATTTAAACAATGTTTTGGTTGTCCAGTAAATAAACACACACGCACACTGTCCTACCTCCCCCACCCCCCCAAAGGAATACGTACTTACCAGATAAACACGTCATTAGGCCCAGGGCCAGCATAGCACCTGCTAGCACAGTCAAACGGTTATATCGCATTGCCATGATGGCAGCTATAAAGAATGTCTTATCCCCTAATTCAGAAACAATAATAACTGATATGGCAGCCACAAATGCATGGATAAATCCCAAATTAGTCTGGCCAGCAGGATCCTCATTATTGATATGAATTGGGGAAGCTGGTATAGGTCCTTTCTGTAACAGAAAAACAAAATTTGTTGTTTTTTTAAATAAAAATATGACTTTAACAATAGATGCAGAAAAAGCTGTTGACAAAGTACAACATTCACTTAGATTTGAAAATCCCACAAAGACGAAAAATCACCTTTTTTTAACATAAGGAAAAAGTTGATATCTAAACAAAAAGACCCAGAGTTATTTGCAATGGAAATTAGAAATTTTCCTTATAAATACAGGAGTAAAGAAAGGACACCCCCTTTTCTCACTGTTGTTTGACTTAATTTTAGAAAAGCTAGCCAAAGCAATAAGACAAAAGCAAAAAATTTAAGGCATAGACATAGGCAAAAGGGAGACAAAATTATCTCTATCTCCTTTTATTATATTTTACATAGAGAATCAATAAGGAAACTAAATGAGATAGTTAACTTCTTCAGCAAAGTAGAAATATACAAAATACACAAAAACAGCAATTCTATATAGCAATGATAAAAGCAAAGAGAGAAGAATAGTAAAGAGCCCCCATTAAAAATAACTACAAAATGCATAAAATATCTTGGAGTTAACTACCAAGGCACACTCAAAACTTACATAAACACAGTTACAAAACACTCTTTAAAGAAGTTAAGAACTTAAATAGCTGGAAGTGATATTCATTTTTTATGGTTGGGCTGAGTCAATATAAAATGCCACAAAAATGACAATACTATCAAAATTGATTTCCAGGTATTCTGCTCTACCAACCAAATTACCAAGAGGATTCTTTAAAGAGCTAAACAAAATAAAATTCACCTGAAAGAGGAGAAGGTCTAAAATCTCAGAATAAACAATTTCTTTTAAGTAATCAGTCAACATGTATTAAGTGCTAATTATTTGCCAGGCACTATGAAAGGTTAAAAAAAAAAAAGGCCCACCCCTCACGGGGTACACAATCTAAGCAGGGAGATACCATGTAAATAACTAGGTACGTGCATACATCATATATATACATACACACACACATACATGCATACATACATACATACATACAGAGCAGATGAAAGTAATCTGAAAGAAGAAGGCATTAGCAGCTGGGGGGATGGGGAAAGGCCTCCTATAGAAGGTAGAATTTGAGCTGAGCCTTGAAGGAAGCCAAGGAAATTGTGCACATGTTGTACTTAGTGCTACTTAGTTTTTGCAAACTATTTTACCCTCTTTTTTCCTTCTTGGTGATAAGACAGAAATGGTTCTCTGAGACACGGAAGAGAGAGAGGACTATTATTACTCAGGGAAGAACTCCATGTTTAAAAAGAACTGCTGGGAAAACAATAAATGCTTTTTGGCAGAAATTAGGTAAATAATTTCTCTATTTCAGATAAACTTCTTATACCACATATTATAATAAGTTCAAAATGGATAAGTGATCTGAATAGTGAAGCTTACACCATAAACATGTGGCCTCCAGGCTGCAAGTTCCCCACCAGCCCTAGACCAAGAGAGATAGGTGGGAGAGAGAGTGAGAGACATAAAGAAGGGGATGGAGAGTAAGTGGCAGCTGGATGGAGACTAGCCTACACCACCCTCGTCAATGAAAAGTAGCCAGGTATTTCATTTCAGTGGCTGCCATTTCAAAGCAAGAGAGAGTTTGGAAGAGGGGAGTGGGAATTATGCACTGAAACAATTTCTCTTGATTTTCTATTCAAAATATGTATTGGGTGGGAACTATTTAAGGCAGGGTAACAGGGAGTAAATTTAAGCATGAATTAAATGATTATATGTGGAAATTTACCACATTCACAGAAATCTCTCTGATAATTCAACTCGGTAAACATTTATTAAGAACGTACTATGTGCATAGCACTCTGTGGGGTGCTGCAGAAATGGGCAACAAACCAAAAACAAACAAACAAAAAACCCCCAAAAATGAAATGATAGACTTCAGAGTTGAAAGGGACCTTAATAGCCATCCAGTCCATCCCAGACCTGAAAGGAATATCCACTATATAACATACTTGACCGGTGGTCATCTAACCTTTGCCTGGAGTCTTCCAAGGTGGGGGAACACACTAACTTTTTAAGGCAGCCCATTCCATTTTAATTGTTAAAAAGTTTTTCCTGATATCAAGCCTAGATTTGCCTCTGCAGTTTCAACCCAATGAGCCTGGTTCTCCCCTCTGAGGAAAGTCTAATCCTTCTTCCACATACAGTCCTTCAAACATTCAGTTATTATGTCTTCTCATATCTCCTACGTCCCCCTCTGCCCCCAAGAACCACAAGTCAGTTAATAAGTATTAAGCACCTATTATGTGCCAGGTACCATGCAAAGGTGACAAGGATACCCCCTCACCCCAAAAGAGGCAAAAAACAGTTCCTGCCCTCAAAGTAAAGGATAAATTGGAGATAATCTCAGAGGGAAGGCAGTAAGATTAAAGAGGTCAAAGGACAGCTTCTTCCACAAGGTGAGAGTTTAGTTGAGGCCTGAAGGAAGCCAGAGGAGCCAAAATACAGAGCTGAAAAGGAAAATAATTCCACGCACAGGGGATAGTTAGTGAAAATGCCTGGAGCTGGGAATGACATGTTTGAGGAACAGCAAGGAGGCCAGTGTCATCAGATGGAAGAGTATGGAGAGAAGAGTAAAGTAGAAGAAGTCTAAAAAGGTAGAAGGAAGGGGTCAAAACTCTTAGGGAAAAAAAACACCTTTTTCAGAAGTCTAAGGAAAGCCAAAGTTGTCTTGTCTCAAAGAAAAACATGGCCAAGTTCTTCAACTGATTCATGATATAAACTCAAGGCCCTCCAGATGAGGTCTGAGGAGGGCCAAGAACCGTGGTACTAATACCTTTCTATCCCTCTCAATTCAATCCAAAATCGAATAAGCTTTTTTGGCTGCTACATCACAGTGCTGACTCACACTGAGTCTGTAGTCAACTAAACCTCTAGGTCTTTTACAGAACTACTGTTTAACCATGTCTCCATCTGGTCTTTGTGAAGCTGATTTTTTTGTATCTGGGAATAAGACTTTACATTTAGACCTACTGAATTGCCCCTCATTAGATTCAGGCCAATGCTCTTACTTCATCAAAATAATTTTCAATCATGATTCCACTGTCCAGTATTAGTTATCTCCTATAGCCTTGTTTCATCTGAAACCTAATAAGCTTACTATCTCTGATATCAAAATCACTGATAAGAAATGTTAAAAAAGCACAGGGCCAAGTACAGATCCATGGGTCCCCGCCCTTAACATCTTCTAAGGAGATGTTATTCTTAACAACTATAACAAGGTGAAATTTATATAACACTCTAAAACTTGCAAAGCATTTCACATAAATGATCTCATGTGATGGTCACAACACTGTGAGGTAGGTGCTACAAGTACTGCTACCCCTGTTTTACTCTCCAGGAGATAAGCTTAGAAGTTAAGTGACTTGCCTATGGTCACAAAACTAATGGGGGATGGGCATGGCAGGCTTGACAGCTAGATTTTCCAGAGTCCAAGTCCATGACATCAGGATCAGTCTCAAGAGTTAAATGATAGAAGATAATAATAAGGGCTCATATTTGCATAGCACTTTAAGGTTTGCAAAACACTTTATATATGGTATCTTATTAGATCCCAGGACAATCCTCATGAGGCAAGGTTGATTATTATCCCTGTTTTACATATAAGGAAACAGACTCAGACAGGTTCGATTACTGGACACTGGTCACACAACTAGTAAATATCAGGGCGGGATTTAAGTGCTCCGGATTCCCAGGCCAGCAATCCTTTGGAGTATTCGCTTTTTAGGAAATGAGAAAAAGGAGAGGAAATTAACAACTGGGACAATAAGGGAAAGCTTTACATCAGGAGTAACACCTGAGCTGGACCTTGAAGAAGGTAACAATTTAAACAGACTAGAGAGGGAGAGAGAGAGAGAGCGCACAAGAGCGCATGGGGGGGGAAGGGACGGGGACAGCATATGTAAACACACCGAGTCAAGCGATGACAAGTCAGATTCAGGGCACACCTCACAGTCCAGTTTAGCTGGAATACAGAGTACATGACAGGTGATAATGTGTGAGATAAGCAAGTTGGACCATAATATAGTGGACCTCAATTGCAAGGCTTTGAATGTGTATCATATACTTAAAGGAACAAGGAGCCACTGAAAATTTCCAAGTATAACAGTATGATCTATACCTGAAAAAAAATTATTTTGGCAGCTACATGAAAATGAAGAGGAGAGAGAATGACAGCAGGGAGCTCAATTAGGAAGTCAAGGTTAACAGGCCTAAAATAGGGCAGTGATTTGGTACAGAAGACAAAGGAAAAAGAATTGGTGAACTTTGTGGTTAAAAAAAAAAGAGAGAGGAGAGAATTTGCTCTGGAGCCAAAAGCTGCTGTTATTCTGTCACATCCAACTCTGTGTGTGACCCTATTCGGGTTTTTCTCAGCAAAGATACTGGAGCGGTTTACCACTTCTTTCTGCTTATTTTAGAGATGAAGAAACTGAGGCTAACAGGGTTAAGTGACTTGCCCAGGGTCACACTTTGAGCAAGTGTAGGAGGCCAAACTGAATTCTTCTTCCTGACTCTAGGCCTGGTGCTCTATCCATGACATCACCTAGCTGCCCCACTGGAGCCAAAAGACCTGGGTTCAGATACTCCCTGATACTTACCATGACTGTTCACAAGTCACTGATCCTCCTGGGCTTCTCCTCTGTAAAAGAATTATGAGGCCTGGAGAAGATGAAATATTAAGTTCTCCTCCAACTCTAAATCTCAGTAGGTATGGGGAACATGAGGAATATGGGAAATAAAAGTCCAGGACTAACTTAGGTGCCTAGGGTGGCACCTTTGACAGAAATAGGAAGACATTTCCTTAAATTAACTCCAAAGAAGTTGCCTTCATAACTAACTCAAGCTCTGTCAAGATTTTAAAGAAGAATCTTTACATGTGTCTAGCAGAAGTCTGACTTTTTATACTAAAACAATAAAGCATGGGAGAAGTCATAGTGACATGCTGGGCAGGGAAGGCTGAGCTGGCCCCTAGGCTTCTATCTCATACCCTTGTTCTCTATTCTTGCTCAGAGCCACAGTTTAGAGGATTCATAGGCCCCCTGGCTTTAAATAGAAAAGGGATCTTTAAAACCATCTAGCTCATTCAATTCATTTTGAAGATGAGAAAATCAGACTAGAGAAGTGAAATAACTTGCCCAATATCACACAGATAAAAAGCATCGGAGCTAAGACTGCCTCTTCTCCTTGCTCCCTCCTCCCCCGCCCCTCCTCAATGAGTCAGAAGACTCTTCTCCATCCCAGCCCAAGTAGGAGTAAATCTCCACTTTCATTAACCCAGCTAAACATTCAGAGGCATTCACTGGGAAAACATGGGGAAAGGAAACAGAATTCTACATAAATTACAAAGCAACAGACTTACCCAATTCCTGGTTACAAATTGTTTTACACTAAACCTTGATTGTCCTATCATACAAGTTAGAAACCACTTAAATCCTTCTCCAATGCCTGAATCTAAGACAGAACTCACCCAAGTTTTTTGAAGGCAATGCCAGCAGGGTATAATGCTATAAACAAAATCAAAGGACTCCCAGTACCAGAGCTATGTGACTGCTTCCCAGAGGCACAGCCTAGTTCAGATAGGCTTGCCCCTAGGCAAGGTGACAACCCTTAAGGATCATCTATTAAGTTGGAGACAGGTTGTAATTTTCATCAGTACTCTCAACAGAAAAAATTACTTGATCCTTGAAGCACAAGTATCTTTAGAAAAACACTGAACAGATGTAAAGATAACTACCGATGGTTTTAAGCACAGAAACCCATACTCAACTTTGGTAAGACAAGTTCAGTTTTAATATCCTACTATTTAAAAGGACATACTGTATACTGTTTGTAAGCAAATTACCAAGATGAAATAACTTTGTCACATTTCACAATATATATAATAGGCAATGAAGATATTTAATCATATTAACACTTTAGTTTCAATCTAATGAAAACTACAAGTATTTTTAAAAAAAGGATATAACTGCAACAGTTCCTAGTCCTCAGAAAGTGGAAGGCCAGAGATGGAAGACAGAAACGTGCTAAGGGCTAGGTTAATTTGTCAGTGGACTAGAACCATTCTTTCCAAATTATGTTTGCTTTAGCTATTTTTAATAAGAAAATATTCTGGTATTTCTTGGACGTGCAGGAACTTTATTTTGCAAGCAAATCACCTCAAGTTTTTTGAGAACCCATCATAGTACCATTATTAACAAATATATAAATCAAAGGATACTAAATTTTCCTCTTGTTGATTCAATGTGCTGGTTAAAATTTTTGTTTTGTTTACAATGTTCAGCAGCAATTGGTCTTTATAACAGTTTGATTTTCCTGGGTTTGAACTACTGTATCACTTAATAGCAGCGAAGTACTACAACAAAAACTGACTCTTCCAGATAAGGTTACATTTATGTTTAGCTTCTCCAAATGGATAATGATTCAAAACTAGAGCAGAAACTATTTCATCCATTCAACAGCTATTTATTGAGTGCCTACTATAAAATAGTACAGTACTGTAGAAAGAGCCCTGAAAAAGGAACAAGATTCTAGTCCCAGTTTTCTATTAATTAGCTGAAGGATCTAGGGATGAATTAAATTATCTCTCTAGTCCTTCATTTTTTAAACTTAATTCAATGAATATTTATGAGATGGCTACTACGTACCATGTACTGTGATATGATAAGAGTCTTTATCCTCTAGGAATTCATATTTTACTAGGGAGGGAGCATATATACATAATACAAAATATATACAAAGTACATTAATAAATTGGGGGAGTGGGCTATAAAAATTCTTCTGTAGGAAGTATTTGAGCTAAGCCTTAAATGGAATCAGGAATTTTAAGGGGCAGATGTTAAGGAGGCAGGGCATTCCAAAGAAAGGTGAGGGTGGGCGCAGCCTGGACAAAGGCCCAGAGGCAGGCAATGGAATGGTATGCTACAGGAAAAGTAAGAAAGGTGTCTAGCCTCCCCCCTTCCCCCAAGAGATTACTTACAATTAATTTTGCAGAAGAAGAAGATAGAAAAGGAAAAAGCAGTCAAGAATCAAATGCAACAAATAGGTAGAAAAAAGGACTGGTTTGGGTAATTAGGTTACTAGCAACTTTCAAATGGTCATTTTCAGTCAAGCAGTGAAGGGAGAAGTCAGATTAGAAAGAGCTGAAGAGTGAACAGGTATTAATGAAGTGGAAGCAGCCAACATAGATGACACCAAAGTTTGGGTCTGAATGAAGGAGAGTGAAGGGATGGCATATTTAACTGGTTGAAAGATTGAAGGAGTTTTTCAAGATAGGAGAGACTGGAGCATGTCTGTAGATAGAAGAAAAAGAGAAACTGGGGAAGGATTCATAGAGACTTGTGGTAAGACTGAAGGGAGGTAGAAAGAGCAGCTAGCTCTTCTAAGATAGGAAAGTATGAGATTGAGATAATAGACAAAATTTCTTAGGTATGGAAGAGCTGAGTTGAAGGAGTAAAGAACAAGGAACTGAGAAAAAGACCTGGGTTCTTGTTCCAGTGCCACTAACTAAATGAGTGTCTAAGTGATTTAGCAGGATCTCAATTTTCTTTTTCTTTTTGTGGGGGAGGCGGAGGGGCAGCAGCAGGTATGGGAAGCTTTAGCAGTCTTCTGAGTTTAGATAGGGTAAAAATGTGCTGCCTTTATGAATTTTAGGAAAGGCTTCATGGAAGAGATGGCAATTGAGTAGGCCCAAGAAAGCTGGTACACATTTATTAAGCCCCCACTATACACCAAGGCACTATGCTAAGCACCAGAAATACAAAAATGTCAAAAAGCTCGCAATCTAATGAAAAATAGGTAGGTTTTTAATAAGATTTGGGGAAAGAGGTGTTATGGAAATCGGAGAAGTGTATTCTAGGTGAACAAAAGCAGAAATCTGAAAGCTCAAGATACAATGCACAGTGTACAAATGGGCAGTGTTGAGATAAAGTCTGGAAAAATACACTGGAAGCACGCAGCAGACGGCCTTGAATGCCAGTGAAGAACCTGAACTTTATTTAATCAAGGAACCAGTGAAGTGGAAGTGAGTGGAAGACCGATCCAATCCAGTGTTGAGCTGTAGGAATCTGGCAATGGATGGACTGAAGGGCGGGTGCACAGACTGCTTAACCTGTTAGGACACTACTTCAATGGTACTAGAGAGGGGGTATACACCTGAAATAGGGAATGGAAGGTTGGAGAGGAGGGAGCCGGCAAGGAAAGATCTCGGAGACGTCAAGGAACAAGACTTACAACAGATGTTCAGAGAAGGACTAAGACTGCTGACAACTTTTCAAACATGGATAATAAGTGATAGTGCCATTAACATAAGTAGGGAAATAAATCTTCAATTTAATTAGGTTATACCTTTTTAGTTTAAACCGTCAAGATCAAAAGCACATGAATTTGTGTAAACGATTAGTTTCTATAGCCTAACATCGCTGCACGTTTAAGTTAAACTAGTTCTTCTCGAGTTCCTAAAGAAATACTTACTATGATCAAAGGATATTAAAGAGTTATTGCTCACAATCTACAACTGCTATGCACACGTACACGTTAAGCGCACATGCACCCCGGGGATGCTGGCAGGAAGAAACATACCCAAACTTCAGACGGCTCGGACAATGAGCACAGTCCAGAAGCCAAAGAGAACTAAAGGTCTGCTCTTTCATTAGGTGGGCTGAGATGCTCTTCGGACCCCGAAAACGTCGCCCTCACCCCCCTTCCCTGCCATTTCCCCACCCCCTCAATGCTACCCCTTCCTGCTTGCTGCTTCTCCCCCGGCAGCATCGCAGGAGCCTCCCCCTTGAGGTTGGTTCTTTTTCCTTTGCTTCACCTGGGCAGCCCCCCCCATCGAGATGTCCCCAGGTGAGTGCCGAGGGGCGGGGGCACACACCGATCCCCAAGAATGAAGTGCCGTCTGCTCCGAAGGGAAGGGCACGGGGGAGGGGGAGGACCGACTGCCCCTACTCCTAGGCCGCAGGGGCGCCCCGCCCGCCTCCCCTCTCCCGGGGTGCTCTGAGCACCCACCCGCCGGCAGGACCCGGGCAGGTCCAGCCTCACCTCGGCGCGGGCCGCCTCGGGCCCCTGAGCCTCTGCCGGCTGCGGCTGCAGCTGTTGAGGAGGTGCCGGGGGCTCCTTGTTCCGGCTGCCGGCGTCTTCCTCGGGCACGGCTCGGACCCCGAGCGGGGTCAGCAGTAGCAACAGCAACAGCAGCGGCGGCGGCGGCGGCGGCAGGAGCAGCGACTGAGGAGACCCCCGACGGCCCCCCAGCGCCGCCATCCCGCCGGCCCAGAGAGCCGACGCACCAGGAGGGCGAGGAGAAGGAAGCGGGGCAGGAAAGCTGCGGCTCGGGCAGCTGCGAGACTGCGCAGGCGCGCCCGGCTAGAGCGAGGCCGGCCCCATCCGGGTGAGGAGCCGGGAAGAGGAGGAAGGAAGCTGGGAGGAGGAGCGCGGGGGAGGGGAGAGGGAGCGAAACCGACTTGGGAGAGTCGGAGGAGCAGAAGGCGACTCGCGAGGCCAAGCGTGCCTAACAGTCTAGAGTCAGAACTCGAGCGCCGACTCCGCCCGCTGCAACGCACGCGGCCCCAGTCCCGGGGCCGGCCGCCCATTGGCCGGGGCAGAGCCCCGGCGTCATGACGTCGGCGCAGCCAGGTTCAGGTGCGTCCCGAGCCTTCCTCCGATTGGCCTCGCACCCGAACGCCCAACTTTGTCACGGGGCAGGTGGCTTGGATGGCTCCCTTTGCCCATCCCTCCTTCTTGTCCCCCGCCCCCATCCCCTTTCCGTAGAATCCTCCTGAAACTCTTCCTCTCTAAGGCGCTCGTCGCCTCCGCTCCATTCTTCTGCATTTTTATGAAGCTGGCCAGTCTCCATTCTCTCATCACCTAATTACCTAATCCGTAATTGTATTAGTAAGGACCCTGGTGAGGTGGTAGTAGCACTAATTTTCACGACTTGCCCTCCCTCCCTTCCCCAGCACTGATTCATTTGTTGATTAGTGAATTCATAGTGTATTATTAAAGTACTACTTACATGCATAGCACCTAGAACAGGAAAGAAGAAACTTTAGACTGAGTTGTGGAATGTGTGAGCATGACATACAAATAAAATGACACATGACATTACCTGTAACCGAGGCACCAACCTAAGTGCTTTGTGAGGTCTGGGTAAGGAATTTTAGTTACTCAATACTTAGTTACTTTAGTCAGAATCACTGACAGCTTAAAGAGTGAAAAGACCTCAGTCTGAACATTTCTTGTGGTGTCTTTCTGAGTAAGTCAGCCTCTCTAAGACTCTATTACTTCACTTATAAAATGGAGATAACCTAACAAGGCTGCTCTGAAGATCAAACAAATGTATATATGTATATGTTTGTATTAGAATGTATATATGTATAATGTATAACTGTGCATTTATCTATAATGTCTAAAGATACACATGTATATGTGTTGTATGCATATCTATATACATATACATGTATGTATATGTAAATATGTATATGTAAATATATTAACATAACCATTTGCAAACATTAAAGCACTATGTAAAAGTCACTATTACCATTACTCATGGTAACTTTTGCCTTCCGGTTTCATCTGATAAAGATGAAAGCTGAGGACAATCCATATACAGGGAACAAAGGCAAGTGAACTAAGATAAGGAAGCTGGAAAGTTAAACAGGATCAAAATATTTACTACTCCTTCAGCAGTTTCTAGGTACCTACCAGCATAGGGAGGAGGAAGGTAAAAAACAAGGTCTGTGTACGTTTAACAGGCTCTTTAGGCCCGTAATGTTTGGGGGAAAATTTCCCCTACTAGATAGTTGGAGATTGTTTTTGGAAGAATAATGTAAAAACAATGTTATAATTTATTTCAATCCCATTTGAATAACTATGTTATTCTGGTTACATCTTCACTTTCCCTACCCTATGACACAAATCATCACAGACACTGTGTGTTGTAATGGAAATAACATCGAATTCAGAGTCAGAAAACGGGCATTTGAGTTCTGGTTTTGAGACTTGCTGTATCACCTTGAGCAAATCACTTTACCTATGTGAGCCTCGATTTCCTCATCTGTAAAATAGGTATATCTGTTCTACCTAACTCTCAAGGATTTTGAGGGGATGATGTGAAAGCATTTTATAACTATAAAATGATAGATAAATGTCATTTCATGACTTAATGAAATAAATTGCAGGTTACATTTTAGCTTTTTTGTTTTCCATTATCACTTAGTATGAATTAAACACTCATGGTACCATCATTTATATCATATTGAAGAAGGGTGTCATTGCCCTCAGCCCACCTAACAGGATAGCACTGTCCTACTCACACTGACAGCAGAATTTGCCAAAGCCACAACTTCCCTGACCACCTGTCCTGACCTTAAATTTCATCAACTGATCAGCCCATACTTGTATAGCTGTGTGGCAGGAAGATCCATAGCTATTCTGGTGGGGCTGTACCCAGAAAACAGGCTAATCATAGGGTGTGACAGGCTGTGGGTGTTTGGGAGGGCATAAATCCAATCACTGAAACCTATTTCCTTTAAGAACTTCACCCCATTTCATGCAGATTCCAATAGGGAGCTGGCTATGATGTGAATTTATTTGTATTGGTCCATGTATGAATAACTCCCTATCTCAGCCACCTAAAAAGGGACAGAGGACAGTCCCCAGCCAGAGGCTCTAATGAATTTACCTGAATATAAATGAAAATCCTCAGAGGGCTTTCCCAACCTATGGCACTCAGCTGTGGAAAGCATCTCAGCTTTGTTTCTGTTAGACCAAACCCTCAGGAGCCATTGTTCTGGTGACTCATGAGATATCTGTTTGAATTTCTGAAACCCCTCCAGTTCTTTGGTGGAGAAAGCCTGCCCAGGCCCTGCTCCCTTGAGGGAGGGGAAACACCTGCCTACTGGAAGCAGTCATAAGAAAATTCTGGGGACTTTTTGCCACTAGTGGAAATTGCTAAATCTCTTCCTCATATTCGTTACTCCTCCTTTCTCATGGCTCTAATCTCAGTGGAATTCGAATCTCTGGAAACAGAACCTCTGGGTCAAAGATTATATGGTGGGTTCCCAGTCCCATTAGGAAAGCATCCTTCACTTGCATGGACACAAGCTCCATTTTCCTCCCTCTTAGCTTTCATTGCATGGTCCCTAAAAACTGAAAACCGTCTCAAGTTGCTGAATGCATGGAGCCAGTTCACTTTCATTCAGTCAGTGAACAAGCATTTATTAAATATCTACAGTGTGCTAGACACAGGGGACACAAAGAAAGGCCAAAGACAGCCCTTACTCTCTCTTTTTTTTTCTTTTTGGTGAGGCAATTGGGGTTAAGTGACTTGCCCAGGGTCACACAGCTAATAAGTATCATGTGTCTGAGGCTAGATTTGAACTCAGGTCCTCCTGATGCCAGGGCTGGTGCTTTATCCATTATGCCATCCAGCTGCCCTGACAGCCCTTACTCTCAAGGAGCTCTCAATCTAATAGGGAAGACAACATATAAACAGCTATCTACAACAGATATATATCTATAGCAGACTGACTGGCTGTAATTAACTGAAGGAAGGTAGGGTTGAGAAAGGGTTCTTGTAGAAGGTGGAATTTTATCTGGGATTGGAAGAAATTTGGGAATTTGGGAAATGAAGATGAAGAGGGAAAGAATTCCAGGTATGGGGGACAGCTGGTGAAAATGCCCAGGTCAGAAGAGTAATTGACTTGTGTGAAGAACAGCAAAGAGGCCAGTGTTATCAGATTGCAGAGTATGTGAAGGTGATAAGGTATAAGAAGCCTAGAAAAGTAGGAGAGGGCCAGGTTCTGAAGGGCTTTGAAGGCCAAACAGAAGATTTTATATTTGATCCTAGAGGTGACAGGGAGCCACTACAGCTTATTAAAGAGGGGAATGACACCGACTTGTACTTTAGGAAATTCAGTCTTCTTATTCTGTCAGCCCACCTTCTGTAAGACGTCAGCAACAACTACAGAATGCTAGAATTGGAGCTTCCTTTACTGTCCTTCACCACAGCATCCAGCACTCACAGAGCTAATTGCTCAGTATGACCCAGAGACTGCTCCCTGTCCCATTGAGAGGACTCTCCATAGGTGATCAGAAGGGCTCTTGTGACTGGTTCCATGCAGTGTCTGGTCACCTGATTATCTAGCCCTTGTGCCTGCCCCCAACTCAAACAGGACATGAGCCACAAAGCCATCTCATCTCAGCTACTGGTGACACCCTAATGCTAGCACCTTCTTAGTTCAGTTTCACTTAAGGTACTTGTAAGTCATGGAACAGTTAACAATAGAAGGCTTATTTGCCCAAAAACAATGCCACAAGGATACCATGGCATTTCTCTCCCATAGACCTTTCCATATGGAAATACATTTGATCTGCAGGATAACTCCTGTGGTCTTCAGATATCTAGAGTGGCCTTAACTACATCTAGGTGGGACTTTAAATTCCTTAGGAGATCAGGAAGCCCAACATGGAGGCAGGGGCCAATCAGATCCTAGAGACAGTTTTCTTGCCTTTTAGAGAAAACTAGTCCTTGTTTCAGGTGTTAATCTAGCATTACCCATAGGGGCTGGAGTATATAATACTCCCTATTCGGTACCCAGGTATGCAGCTGGCCTCTGGTGAGAGCAAGTTCCCTTTTCTTCTGTTCATTGGCTCATTGCAATTGGCTCATTCCTGGTATTCTGGGGAAATGAATTGGGTAGGGGGGATTAGGGGACAGGTCATTTATTCTTACACACACACACACACACACACACACACACACACACACACACGAAAGGCTAAAAGTTAAAAAAAAACAATATACCCAATTCATAAGTACATATTAACACAATATGATTCACAAACTTTTAACTACTGGCACAATTTGTGTGGAGGATGTTGCCCAAGCTTCAGAGTGAATATAAAGCAGTTTCTGGGATTTCTGATAAGGCATTTCGCATATGCAGAGCTTGGCTCTACCCCATTACTCCTCTCTGAATCCTGACCTCTTCTGAACTAGCTGCTTCATTTGCAGCTACTGATTGTTCATGCATACTCAGCAATCTGATGCTAACTATGGCTCATCTTATTGGACCCTGGACCTGTCAAACTCACCAGGTTGCCTGCAATCCTGGCTATATCTGCCTTAAGATCACTGGTTGTTCACCTACTCAGGAAAGGAAACCCAAGACAGAAAAGACAAACAGAGGCAGAAGCACAAGCTCACCCAGTGGAATCCATATGGAGGAGTGAGGAGACAAAGAGTGTTGCTCATCCCCCAACCCCCTTGCTTGGCTGAGTCAAAGACAAGAACTCCTTTCCTTTCCAGAAAGTCACAGCCAACAAAGCCATGTTAGAAGGTTGGGTTTTTT